CGATAAATAGTTTCTGTATCAATCTACGTACGGAAATACGGTATTACGGCATCACCTGTATTGGACGACCACCTGTCTAAAAGACCACTTTTTGAAAGAACCGTGGGTGGTCTCCATAGACAGCGTTTACTGTATATGTTTTATATACAGAAATTTTATACATTGTTTTATTTCTCTGTTATTTTTGGCTCCACATATATAAAATTCTATAAATTTAATAATGTGGGGGCTTGGGGGCCGTCTAAAAATGGATTACGAGAGCGTAGAGTAAGACCCTACCACAAGGTGTGTGTTGTCGGATTTAGACCCGATTTAGACCATAAAAAAACGCCAGTTAGTTAAGGCCCGAGGATAGGAATGAGCTCTTAAGAGAAAGGATGCAAAGTCAAGTAAACTAATTTACGAATATAAGAGACAATTTATATTATAAAGGAACGAAATATAAATTTATAGTAAGTATAAAAACTGTTTGAGGAAGTTAGCGTACTTCTATTTGTAAAACGGAGGTACAGTACCTAGCGGGGGTATCCGAACTTTGCGATTCTCAACATATCGGGAAGAGTTGTCTTCTCTTGTAGATGTTGTGTTTCTTTTTCTTTTTCTTCTTGCTGCTTTCTCTATCTCCCTCTTTTTCCTTCACTTCTTCTTTACCTTTCTTTACCTTTTCGTCTACATTTATCTTTCACTAAGTCTGATTTTCGTCATTTAGTTTTATCTTATTCTTTATTTTAACCAATCGTGATTTTGTTCCGGAGGAAGTTGAAGTAATTTGCAATAAGCATGATTGATCATCTACTAGTCCTCCTTCTCTCTTGTCTATTAAGAATTATTGCGTCCACATAACATGAATAAAATAACATTTGTCATCTAACACCATTGAGAAAAGAAGAAACGACGGTCATTTTCATTGTCTTTTCTTTGGCATATTGTGAAATTTATAACAATTAATAAACAATTTATTTCTTCTAATTTGTTTTTTGAATTATTTTTAACCAGCATTACTAAAAATTTAAATCCTATTCGATTAAGGTGAATATATATTAAATACAAAATTAATCCAATAATACAAAATCTAAAACTTTCCGAGAATTATAACAAAGAAAGAATAGAAATAAATTAAACCACGTGTTTACTAGAAATAAAAAATAAAACAATGAATTAGAATATTTTTGCTTTTATTTTCTTTAATTTAAAAAATAATATAATTTGATTAAATCTATAAATATATCTATATCTATATATCTATACTAATATTATAAAGAGGTAATGTTTGTATGTATGTATGTTAGTTTGTATGCAGCAGGTAATCTCCGAAACTACTCATCCGATTTCAAAAGTTTTTTCACCAATATTTAGAATGGAACTTCAGGGTGGACATAGGCTGTATATTATTCCGTTAAACGTGGGGGATGGACAGTTCTTTACGGTAAGCCTTACGAGGAAGGCTTACCGTAAATAACTCTGCTTCTATTTATACTATTTTAGATGCGGTTTTTGCATTTTTGATTGCATTTTAATAGAGTACGTCAACAGAATGTATACTAAGAAGGGATTTTTCGATATCCCCCCGCGGGGAAGTGGGACAAGATTAAGGCTTACTGTGAAAAACTTGGCTTCTATTATACTATTTTAGATGCGGGTTTTTGCGCTTTTGATTGCGTTTTAATAGGGTACGTCAAGAGAATGTACACTAAGAAAAAATTTTTCGAAAAATTTTCCCCCACGGGGGAAGTGTTATACATTTATAATAGATACATTTTGAGCCACAACAAGGCGTGGCGGGGTCTGCTAGTCTATATATATAAATGGACGTGTGTGTCCCTATATTTCACTTTTCCGCAAAAAACTACACATCGCACGTGAATGGTGTTTGTATGTGGTAGTAGCCCCAAGTCTCCATTCCTGCACTATGGTGCTTGCGTCTCGATAGCTATAAAGGTGCGAGAGATATGGGCTTGAAAGTGGTTGAAAGTGGCTTTCTATTTCGAATGTTTTGTTCGAATATTGTTCGAACAAATTCGAACAATATTCGAATTAAATTCGAACATAAAATTCGAATATTGGTTCGATTATAAAACGATCGTAAACGTTCCAGAAACGTTGAAAATAGTTCGTTTGACTTGACGTGAACAGGAGACGTCCAAAAATAGAATCGGGACCAGGTCGCTAATTAGTCTGGAAACGGGAGACCTAATTCTTGCATTCTCTGAAAACGGGTAAGATTGGCTATAATGCACAGTAATTATCTTTTCACTATCGTTACTTTTTAAAAACCCAGCGAAACGGGTCCTTGCAGCTAGTATAAAATATAAATTTTCTAATGCGTGGTTATAGCATTAATCACATTTTTGTAAATAAGAAATCAAAACACAAAGTTAATAATTCGGATTGCTTCAAGCACTTCGTCAAAAGATGGCAGCAGTAAACGGCGAAATATTTCAAAATAAAAATAGTTTTATTTTCGAATTGCGTAAAACTACTTCATTTAATGTCTGAGTGTAGTGTTTGCCCGGTATTAATAAGATAGAAGAAATACATAACTACTGGTTTGAGAGGAAGGCGGCGATTAATACAGTTAAACCTTGATAGTCGCCATGTTTTCGAGTTGTGTTACCGTTATCGAGTAGCTGTTATTATTTAAAACACTGGGAATTCTCTATTCGAACTTACTTTTAATATCGTAAAGTGATGTCACTGAATTTACTGATGATGTTGATGTAGTCACGCGCTACTCGATTGGATTGATACAAAATTAACAAATTATATATCAGTTACGTATTACTGTACAAAGATAATCAATCTATTATAAAGGTCTACATGTATAAACATATCTTTGGAAGTATGTGAGAAATGTAATATTGAATTAGAGAATTTTCAACGTTAGAACGTAGGAAGCCTCAACGTTGCTACAAAGCCTTAATGTGAAATATTGTTTTTATAATGCACGTCTATAGAATGTGAGTATTAAATGTAATTTCTTAACAGTTTGCATAAATTAAACATTCTTTTTCACAAACGTTAATTTCCAAGGCATATTACTGTGCATAAAACGTAGATTGAGATCGTTTAACTATTGTCTATCGGTGCAGCAAAATTCCACGACCAAATCTTGCATATAAAGACCTGTATGCGTAGATAAATTCATATGTTATATTTAATGTTACTTTAGAATCATATATCCATAGAATTGAAGTGAAACCAAAAAATCTGTCAAATTTTTATATTTGAAACAGAAACGATTTACGTTGAATTACTAAAATGGAAAAAGCAAAAGCTCCAAGTGAGGAGAAGAGTGTCCCCGTTTGTCCAGTTAATTACAAACAAGTTGAAAAAGTAAGTGGGCAAAATCGATTTTAATTTAATATAAACTGTGGATAATATAAAATACAGTTTATGTTTTTCATTTATTCTTTTATAAACTGTACTCTAGAATAATTTAAAGAGTGTAATAAATACAGTAGAGCGTCGATTATCCGAAAGTCAATCATCCGAAACGTCAATTATCCGAAAGAATTCCAGTTGGCAAATTTAAATTTTTGCCAGTGCTGTGGCGCTTCAATCTTTGGCTATGTCTTGGGCTACTCAAATATTTTACGTTTTTGATACTAAATTAACATCTGAAGTATAATTTTTTATTATTTTTATATTTTTCAATATAATAATTTTGTTTGTACAAAATAAAAACAATAATTTTTAACGATACAATAGTCTTTGTTAGGCATAACATCGATGAAAATTCAACGCGAAGCGAAACGCAACGGAGAAAAATTTCAACATCGGATACGTTAAACTATTTTTTTCGTACATAATCGGTTATCCGAACAACCCCCCCCCCAATTGATTCGGATAATCGACGCTCTACTGTATAATATTTAATTACAGGCAACAGATGGACTGAGGCAAGATGCCTGTTTAAGGATGTTTAAGGAACTTCTAAACGGTAAATACTTTTCTGTCTTTTATTTTATTATAATGGGAGGTGTTCTTAAAAATTATATTTATTTCTGGACATATGTTTTTCTTTGTAGTCCATGAAAATCAATTACTGTAGTTGTATTATTGTTTATCGAAAGAATTTCAAGCACGAAAGTTATTCGTATTACATAGAGATATACGTGCACAANACTTCAGGGTGGACATAGGCTGTATATTATTCCGTTAAACGTGGGGGATGGACAGTTCTTTACGGTAAGCCTTACGAGGAAGGCTTACCGTAAATAACTCTGCTTCTATTTATACTATTTTAGATGCGGTTTTTGCATTTTTGATTGCATTTTAATAGAGTACGTCAACAGAATGTATACTAAGAAGGGATTTTTCGATATCCCCCCGCGGGGAAGTGGGACAAGATTAAGGCTTACTGTGAAAAACTTGGCTTCTATTATACTATTTTAGATGCGGGTTTTTGCGCTTTTGATTGCGTTTTAATAGGGTACGTCAAGAGAATGTACACTAAGAAAAAATCTTTCGAAAAATTTTCTCCCACGGGGGAAGTGTTATACATTTATAATAGATACATTTTGAGCCACAACAAGGCGTGGCGGGGTCTGCTAGTCTATATATATAAATGGACGTGTGTGTCCCTATATTTCACTTTTCCGCAAAAAACTACACATCGCACGTGAATGGTGTTTGTATGTGGTAGTAGCCCCAAGTCTCCATTCCTGCACTATGGTGCTTGCGTCTCGATAGCTATAAAGGTGCGAGAGATATGGGCTTGAAAGTGGTTGAAAGTGGCTTTCTATTTCGAATGTTTTGTTCGAATATTGTTCGAACAAATTCGAACAATATTCGAATTAAATTCGAACATAAAATTCGAATATTGGTTCGATTATAGAACTTTATAGAATTTTATGTTCGAATTAAATTCGAACATAAAATTCGAATATTGGTTCGATTATAAAACGATCGTAAACGTTCCAGAAACGTTGAAAATAGTTCGTTTGACTTGACGTGAACAGGAGACGTCCAAAAATAGAATCGGGACCAGGTCGCTAATTAGTCTGGAAACGGGAGACCTAATTCTTGCATTCTCTGAAAACGGGTAAGATTGGCTATAATGCACAGTAATTATCTTTTCACTATCGTTACTTTTTAAAAACCCAGCGAAACGGGTCCTTGCAGCTAGTATAAAATATAAATTTTCTAATGCGTGGTTATAGCATTAATCACATTTTTGTAAATAAGAAATCAAAACACAAAGTTAATAATTCGGATTGCTTCAAGCACTTCGTCAAAAGATGGCAGCAGTAAACGGCGAAATATTTCAAAATAAAAATAGTTTTATTTTCGAATTGCGTAAAACTACTTCATTTAATGTCTGAGTGTAGTGTTTGCCCGGTATTAATAAGATAGAAGAAATACATAACTACTGGTTTGAGAGGAAGGCGGCGATTAATACAGTTAAACCTTGATAGTCGCCATGTTTTCGAGTTGTGTTACCGTTATCGAGTAGCTGTTATTATTTAAAACACTGGGAATTCTCTATTCGAACTTACTTTTAATATCGTAAAGTGATGTCACTGAATTTACTGATGATGTTGATGTAGTCACGCGCTACTCGATTGGATTGATACAAAATTAACAAATTATATATCAGTTACGTATTACTGTACAAAGATAATCAATCTATTATAAAGGTCTACATGTATAAACATATCTTTGGAAGTATGTGAGAAATGTAATATTGAATTAGAGAATTTTCAACGTTAGAACGTAGGAAGCCTCAACGTTGCTACAAAGCCTTAATGTGAAATATTGTTTTTATAATGCACGTCTATAGAATGTGAGTATTAAATGTAATTTCTTAACAGTTTGCATAAATTAAACATTCTTTTTCACAAACGTTAATTTCCAAGGCATATTACTGTGCATAAAACGTAGATTGAGATCGTTTAACTATTGTCTATCGGTGCAGCAAAATTCCACGACCAAATCTTGCATATAAAGACCTGTATGCGTAGATAAATTCATATGTTATATTTAATGTTACTTTAGAATCATATATCCATAGAATTGAAGTGAAACCAAAAAATCTGTCAAATTTTTATATTTGAAACAGAAACGATTTACGTTGAATTACTAAAATGGAAAAAGCAAAAGCTCCAAGTGAGGAGAAGAGTGTCCCCGTTTGTCCAGTTAATTACAAACAAGTTGAAAAAGTAAGTGGGCAAAATCGATTTTAATTTAATATAAACTGTGGATAATATAAAATACAGTTTATGTTTTTCATTTATTCTTTTATAAACTGTACTCTAGAATAATTTAAAGAGTGTAATAAATACAGTAGAGCGTCGATTATCCGAAAGTCAATCATCCGAAACGTCAATTATCCGAAAGAATTCCAGTTGGCAAATTTAAATTTTTGCCAGTGCTGTGGCACTGCAATCTTTGGCTATGTCTTGGGCTACTCAAATATTTTACGTTTTTGATACTAAATTAACATCTGAAGTATAATTTTTTATTGTTTTTATATTTTTCAATATAATAATTTTGTTTGTACAAAATAAAAACAATAATTTTTAACGATACAATAGTCTTTGTTAGGCATAACATCGATGAAAATTCAACGCGAAGCGAAACGCAACGGAGAAAAATTTCAACATCGGATACGTTAAACTATTTTTTTCGTACATAATCGGTTATCCGAACAACCCCCCCCCAATTGATTCGGATAATCGACGCTCTACTGTATAATATTTAATTACAGGCAACAGATAGAGTGTGGCAAAATGTAGATATGTTGAAAGAACTTCTAAACGGTAAATACTTTTCTGTCTTTTATTTTATTATAATGGGAGGTGTTCTTAAAAATTATATTTATTTCTGGACATATGTTTTTCTTTGTAGTCCATGAAAATCAATTACTGTAGTTGTATTATTGTTTATCGAAAGAATTTCAAGCACGAAAGTTATTCGTATTACATAGAGATATACGTGCACAATTTTCATTGTCATTTATATACATTTAAGCTAAACTTACAAAGTAATTGGATAAACAATAAAATATTGATTGGATATTAATTTCAGTTGAAAATTGTAATCAAACACCGACGATGCTGAATAATTGTACACAAGTTCACGTTGGACCAAAAATTGAAATTCATTTTGAAGAATCGAAAGCAAATTCATTAAAAAAAGAAGAGGAAGTAAGAGATGGTAAGTGCATGTTTAATTCACTTTTTTATATTAAAAATATTTGTTATGATTTGGAAAAACTGATAGAATAGCATTTTGTTCTTATTAATTTACAATTCTGAAATTGAAATTTGTGGATGACAGACACCTAATTAAAGTATTGTCATTTATATAATGGATTCTAGAGTATTAAATCACTACTAGAAAAAGATGAACCTTGGCATATTATAATTACTGTGTATAAAAGAACGGTAGCCAGAGCTATCGCATTATTTCTTTTCAAAATTCGTTTTTATAGCAGTCGTAGATAATCTCCTTTCTCAGTTAGAACACGAATTGTGCTTAGTTTTGCATAAATACCCTTTTACAACTCACTGGAAGTACTAATGCTTTAATGCATTCGACCATAAATAATATTACAAATATGGCAGAAAGTTTCGTATAATTCGTAATATGCAAATAAAATGAAAATAAATAACACGATATTTCATTAGTTTCTTATTAATTTGTTATTTCTTACAGCAATGCTCAAGAGTTGCTGCCAGATGCTGAAAAACAAATACAAGACATACTTTTCTTACATGAGGTCCTTTTTGTGGGAGGGCAAAAGGAAAGATTTTCCATTAAAGGATTATTTCGTAGAATTGACTGTAGAGAAAGCAGATTTATTTGGAAAAAATAGCGAAGAGAAAATAAGCCTGAATGAGATGTTTTCCATTAAAGAAGACGGACACCAAACTATTTTAATTACAGGGGATCCCGGTTATGGCAAATCTACTCTGTGCAAGAAAATTGCGTACGATTGGGCAACCACTGATTACCTCAAACACTTTGATTTAACTTTTATTGTAATTTTACGAGAATTAGGCGATAAAAGTGTAAAGGATGCCTTACTCGATAATATGCATAAATATTCGTTAATTAATACAGATTGGAAGTTTCAAGACAGGCAACGGAACATTTTAGTGATTTTGGATGGGTTAGATGAAATTGTAGAAAAATTTAAAATTCTGAAATTTATAAGAGAAGAATCTTTTTATATTACTTATCAAATGACTATTGTGGTTACGAGTCGACCTCAAGCAGCTGAAGACATCAGGGAAGACATGAACATGAGACTTTCGTTACAGGGATTTCCTCCAGAGCATCAAAAAAAATACATTCAATTAATGTTTAGAGAAGACGAAAGTAAAGCGAAGGAACTGTCTTGTGCACTGAAAGAAAACGAATTTTACGAAGAAATATCAGAATGTCCTCTGATGCTGCATATGTTGTGTTGCCTTCATCAGAATGGAGAAATAGAAAAACTTGAAACGATGACTGATTTATACATCAGAATATTTACTCTTATAACCGAACGTTATGTTAGAAAAACAAATCAGCAGGGAAAGTTTAAAAAAGGAAAATACTTCGTGGGAGAAAACTTGCTATTGAAATTGGTAAAAATAAAAAATATCACCTCAGAACTCTTGACGGATCAATTTCCGAAAGAAGATGAATACAATTTTATCATTGGACTGGACATTCTCGTTCTCGATTCATTTTTTGAATGCGATAATAGAATTCAATATAGTTTTCTGCATCGCACCTTTAAAGAATTTCTATCAGCTTTATTGATGTATCTCGGAAATGTTTCATTTCCAGTTTATATTTTAGAAATGGAATTATTATTTTTATTGGGATTTTATAAGGATAAACCTTTAACCAAACAGTTTTTAACATATTTAGAGGAACAAATGTTTCCACCTCAACTCATGCTTCGAGTTCACAAAACACTCAAGTTGAAAGCAAATTGGGAACAATTTTGTTTTCATTCCAATGTGTTAATTAATTTTTCGAAATACGTTATTTATTTTTTAAAGCTGTTAAAACTGCATGAATTTAAAGAAGTGTACATCTATTTCGGTGAGAAACCGGATAAAACTGAGAATAATTCAATTTATTACTTGAACAATTGTACTTCTCCGAATAATTTGAAGATTTTTCTTATCTTCGAAGCTAGCAGACCGTTTTGGGGAAATAAATACGATATCAGAAAATCTGTTTCATGTCATCTCAATTTGCTTGATAAAAATAACACAAATAATTTGGACATTTTTCTTGTTGGAGTAAAAATGTTTGTCTGCGGTCCATTAATCAGATTCAAGAAAGTAAATCGTAATTTGAATTTGTCTGGTGGTGCACTGAAATTATTAAATGTAAGTGAAAACGCAGAATTGATTTCACTAGAATCTGAAATAGCCGGAAAATTTTCTATGAGTTTTATTATTTCATTGGAGCAATACGAAACTCTTCGTGATCGTATTATGATTTCAGTCTGCCCTTAAGCAGAATTGAAAATTTGTAATGATGTAGAAGACTATAAAGATATATATATATCAGGGTTTTACATGGAAGAATCGTCTAATTTTTTAACGACGAAACTGCAATTAATGAAATGAGTAAGCTGAAATGTTAAACAATGCGAGTGTTCGATTAAAATATCGTTGTGAGAATATAACTTTCAATAGTTGTTCCTCTTGTGAATAGAAAAGGAAATGAAATTTGTATAGTTACTTAAACACTATGGTAGCAACTACTGTATTCGAAACAAATTGTTTATTGCATTAAATTAGGAATGAAATCACAAGTTTAAATATGAGAGCGGTATGTAATTGACGTATAACAATTACAAGCACTTTTGTATTGTACTGATAAATAATGAAAATAAACGATGTGTTACTTAAAGTGTGTTGTATTCTTAACAATTGTTAAGGCTTGAAAACGAATACGAATGAAAAGTGGCTATCGAAAGAGCGGCCAAACAACTAACAATTGTCTTTTATTATTATTATTTTCATTTCATTGTGCTTGTTAGGTACTTATTGAAGATGGTAGAAAACGAAAGGCATGGTGGTTTAAATGCTGAATTTATAATTTATGTTTTCATTTCGATAAATAAAGATAATAATTTGACAAATAAATATATGTTCGTCAACAGATAGAAGCACGTAATAGTATACTATCAACATACTATCTTGCGCGCTCAAGGTTGAATGAGTATGCTAGGGTGTGTCAGCTGTTTGCAGTTGTTACAAACGAGACGATAAACTGATGTTCATTGATTAACACAGGTAACCTTTTCTATTCTCTATAAACTCGGAGTGATGTTATTGACGTAGCAGTTACGACTGTTTGTAAAACGACGGAGTCTATATTATCGTACGTCTGACGTCACTGGGAAATTACGAGTGACGTTGAACTTCGCACGTGTTAGCTAGTGAACTGATGACCTATGAATTATACAAAGGTTTCTATACAATCCAAATAGGACGTAAATCTTTCATAAATCTTTATATAAATATACAGAAAGAGGTACATTTTAGTTAATTCACTAAAATAATTTAAAAATACGCATTCTACAAAAAACCCTTACACCAATAATGTGTTTTCGAGGGTGCCACAAAATGGAAGAATCGAATCATCATACATTGCACCATAACAATGAAGAAGAGGTCAACATTATTTTTACACGAAAACCCGACTTCTTATTGCATATTCTAATTCTATATTGAACATAAATATTTATCCAAAGCATTTTTTTAAAGGTGCACTTATTAGATTTTACGAGTGCGTAAAGTTTTATGTGATATCTACAATGTATAAGCGCGAATACGTGGATATTTAAAAATAGAAAAATGCTTAAAAATCTCACTAAAAAACTATTGTTTTGTGTTGAAAGCAACGTCAACGAGTTCTCTTTACCACAACCTTGATGGCTTTAACTCGCTGTGGCACTAGATAGATGTTAAAGGAAAAGTATGGTGTACAGGGACAAGCCACTGGTAATTTCAGGAGGTGAGCACATATTTTATTATATATGAACGTTTTGTTTTCAGAAGATATAATTTTTAAGTAGAAATTGCGAGCTCCAACGGTCTCGGTGTTAACGCTTGCATTATATATTTAAATGAATTTGGTGTTGCACGATACTGTATTCGAAGTAGCCCTGTTGTGAGTTTCTCATTCCACAAGTAATAAAGTTGTACAATAAAATACTGTACTAGAATTCTGCCAGCATTGTAATTGGTACTCGAATTGCTTCGCCGTGTGTCTAATTGTTACACACAGTTAGCAAAAACCAAGTATTTTAGTTAAAACGTAACAACATTTACGTAATTGTTAGAAATACTGCTGTTTCCGATAATAGAAAATTCGAGTTTATCTACCGAGTAGATTTAAAATGACGTGGCATCGATAGCTACGGGATTTTTTATTGGTCGGTCGATCCTCTTCTCTTCGACTAGTTACGAATAACTAGTAATAGTAGAGAACAACAAAAGAATCGAACCCGGACTCCTAATATACGCTCGAACAGTAAGATTGAGCTCACATGTTACGTCCAGTCAATGGAAGAATGCCTTACAAATAACGCCTTCTTAGATTGGCCGAACGTAACGTAACGTAATAAGAGGCATCCTAACCCGTCATCCGGACAGTTTTAATTACAAGTTGGCATAAGCTTAGATTGGATCCAAAGAAAAGTTTAATTTTCTTTCTTGTAATTACGCGCCGCCAGTTTGTAATTGTTTGTAATTAAAGACATTAAATATATGATTAAAAACTGCAGGCCGGCATTGTGACCATGGCGCAATATATAATAATTGCTCGTTTATCTCGAGCACTGTCCTTCATCACCCCGCTGCCCCATTGTGGACCTGGCTAAACCCATAATGGGCTTTTTAAAAACAGGCCTTTTTAGTGCCCACTGGGCAGAAAGAGTTACCAAAAAAAATGGTGGGTAGAGTGTGAGGCTTTGATTCATCAGTGTGGTGTTTATGGACAATTTTCTTCGTGTAAAGAACTGTTTCTACAAAACTGTATAGTATGTTCACTATTTATCTGTTAATTGTCTAAGGTGGCACTTCACCGCTCTGGTGGACCTGGATTCGAATCTGGACGGGTCAAAAAGTCCGTCCGGATATTTCGGGTTTTGTTCTTCACCATTCGGCCGCCCCATGGTGCACCTGGCGTAACCATAATTGACATGCTAAAAAGCCCTTTTTAGTGCTCATAAGGCGGAGAGTTAAAAAAGAAAAAAAACTTCTTGACGTCATAAATTTACTAACCAATTACGGAACAGGAAACTACTACAGCAGCTGAAACTAATTGGGAAAAAATAAACGCCGCAGAGTTACTAATAATAATAAAACGATTTAATATAATAATTCATGAATATTATTTTTAAACATAATATGAAAATTAGTATAAGTTATATTTAATTTTTTTTTATATTTAATTTACTCGCTATTTTTACGGCAGGGTGCGCTGTAATTCAAAATGGCGTCTAGAAACATGTGCATTGGGATGTTTTGTTAGCGAATTAACTTAAATTTTATACGAATTTAGCAATTTTTATAATTAAATCATGGATTATTCTAATATCAGCCGCGAAGAACTTTGTAAACCCGTAAAGGAATTAAAAGATAAGTGGAAATTGTTACCTGCTTTCCTCCAAGTTAAAGGTTTAGTGAAGCAACACATCGATTCCTTCAATTATTTCGTTAATGTGGAAATTAAAAAGATAATGAAGGCCAACGAGAAGGTAACAAGTGAATGTGATCCACTTTTTTATTTAAAATACACAAATATATACGTTGGAACTCCTGAGATAGAAGAAGGATTACAGATTACCAAAGCTACAAATCCACATGAGTGTCGTTTGAGAGATTTAACATATTCTGCACCAATTACTGTCGATATTGAGTATACCAGAGGTCAACAGAGAGTTGTGAGGAATTCAGTCACAATAGGAAGAATGCCTATAATGCTTAGGAGTTCAAAATGTGTTCTTACTGGAAAATCTCCCGCAGAGTTGGCAAAATTAAATGAATGCCCTTATGATCCTGGCGGTTACTTCATTGTGAATGGAGCTGAGAAAGTTATTCTACTTCAAGAGCAGCTTTCCAAAAATAGAATGATAGTGGAAGAGGATCGCAAAGGAGGAATTACCTGCCAAGTCACCAGTTCGACTCACGAGAGGAAAAGTAGGACGAACATCACCGTGAAGAAAGGAAATTATTATTTAAAGCATAACAGTTTTACAGATGATATACCGATTGCTATTGTATTTAAGGCTATGGGTATAGAGAGCGATCAGGAGATAGTTCAGATGATCGGTACCGATGATCACGTTTTGTCGGCATTTGCGTCGTCCTTAGAAGAGTGCCATCAGGCTCAAGTGTATAGCCAGATGCAAGCATTGAGATTTATGGGTGGAAAAGTTAGACAAAGAAAGATGTTTGGAGGTGCTAAAAAATCTGTCGTCGAAGAAGCACGCGATCTTCTAGCTACTACGATCCTTGCTCATGTGCCTGTTGAACAATTTAATTTTAAGTTGAAGGCTCTTTATATGGCATTAATGATAAGAAGAGTAATACAGGCTCAGCAAAACACAAAGTTAATTGATGACAGAGATTATTATGGAAATAAACGAGTTGAACTGGCTGGAAGTTTACTAGCTTTGTTATTCGAAGATGTTTTCAAAAGATTGAATGGTGATATAAAAGCTATAGCAGATAAAAATATTCCAAAAGTGAAAGCTTCAATATTCGATGTTTTTAAATATATGAGACAAGATTTGATAACTAATGGTTTAGTGACTGCGATATCCACTGGAAATTGGACCGTTAAACGTTTTAAGATGGAAAGAATTGGTGTTACACAAGTGTTATCTCGTCTATCATACATATCTTGTTTGGGAATGATGACTAGGATCAACAGTCAGTTTGAAAAAACCAGAAAAGTTTCTGGTCCCAGATCTCTACAACCATCTCAATGGGGAATGCTTTGCCCTTCAGATACACCTGAAGGAGAATCTTGTGGTCTAGTTAAAAATTTGGCACTTATGACTCATATTACAACTGATTTAGAAGAAGGACCTATTTGTAAATTAGCCTTTAATTTAGGTGTTGAAGATATACATTTACTAAATGGAGAGGAACTTAGTAATCGTAATGTGTATATGGTATTTGTGAACGGTAATATTCTCGGAGTCGTTAGAGAACATAAGAGACTCGTTCATACTTTCAGAATGCTTAGAAGAGCCGGTTATATTAATGAGTTTGTATCTATATTTCCTAATCATACCCATCGCTGTATATATATAGCATCTGATGGTGGAAGAATGTGTAGACCGTATATAATAGTGAAGAATGGCAAACCTAAAGTACTTCAAAGACATTTAGAAGAGTTGAATCAGGGACTTAGATTCTTTGAAGATTTTCTGCGGGAAGGACTTGTCGAATATTTAGATGTCAATGAAGAAAATGATAGTAATATTGCACTTTATGAGTCTGATATAAATGAAAATACAACTCACTTAGAAATCGAACCATTTACATTACTAGGTGTCTGTGCCGGATTAATACCGTATCCTCATCATAATCAGTCACCACGTAACACTTATCAGTGTGCTATGGGTAAGCAAGCCATGGGAACTATTGCTTTGAATCAAAGAAATCGTATTGATACATTGCTTTATTTGTTGGTTTATCCCCAAAAACCAATGGTAAAATCTAGAACAATTGAAATTATTAATTTTGAAAGTCTTCCAGCAGGTCAAAATGCAACTGTTGCTGTGATGAGTTACAGTGGTTATGATATAGAAGATGCTTTAATTATGAACAAGGCATCGATTGATAGAGGATTTGGTCGTTGCCTTGTATATAGAAATCAAAAGTGTCTCATAAGGAGATACTCAAATGCAACACACGATCGAATTTTGGGTCCAATTGTCGATGGCACAACTGGTAAACCCATTTGGAAACACGAAGTGTTAGATGCAGATGGGATAGCCGCTCCTGGTGAAAGAGTAGAAAATCGGCAAGTTCTCATAAACAGATCAATGCCATCTGTCACTTCAAATCCTATTCAAGCCACACCAAACTTGATGCAACAACCCGAATTCCGAGAGGTGCCATTAAGTTATAAAGGTTTAGTTTCATCGTCAGTAGAGAAAGTAATGATTTCGACTAATAGTGACGAATCTTACCTAATTAAAATGTTGCTCCGTCAAACTAGAAGACCAGAAATAGGTGACAAATTCAGTAGTAGGCATGGACAGAAAGGTGTTATAGGGCTGATCGTTCAGCAAGAAGACATGCCTTTTAACGATAACGGAATCTGTCCCGACATGATTATGAATCCTCATGGTTTCCCATCAAGAATGACTGTTGGGAAATTAATAGAATTGTTAGCCGGTAAAGCAGGTGTATTAGAAGGGAAGTTTCACTACGGTACTGCATTTGGAGGAAGCAAAGTTGAAGACGTGAGCCAAGAACTTATAAAAAATGGCTTTAATTATTTGGGGAAAGATTGCCTAACATCAGGAATTACAGGAGAACCTTTAACAGCATACATTTATTTCGGTCCAGTATTTTATCAGAAACTGAAACACATGGTTTTGGATAAGGTCCACGCGCGTGCTCGTGGTCCAAGAGCCGTGTTGACCAGGCAACCGACCGAAGGAAGATCCAGGGAAGGCGGTCTGCGTCTGGGTGAAATGGAACGCGACTGTCTGATCGGCCACGGAGCCAGCATGTTACTGTTAGAGAGACTTATGTTATCTAGCGACGCCTTCGACGTTGATGTCTGCAACAATTGCGGACTGCTCGGTTATTCCGGGTGGTGCCACTACTGCCGTTCCTCACGTCACGTTGCTTCCATAAGGATTCCTTACGCATGCAAGTTACTGTTTCAGGAATTACAATCTATGAATGTTATTCCGCGAATTAAGTTGTCCAGATATTTTGAGTGACCAAAATTTCTGATTAAATGTAAAATTTGGAGTAGATTTAGAAAACTAAAATAAATATATTTCTTATATTGAATTTGTGTTTATCTTTATTTCTACTAAAAAAATTTACATAGATAGAAGAATCTTTTTAAGTTATTTTCAAGTACTATACTGTAATTTAAATTTAAAAGATACAAAATGTCGCCATATTGAATCTGTCACGTGATTAGGTTACGTCATTCGTTACCAAAATCTCATATTTTCAAAGGAAATTTGAATTATTAATACATTATTATTTTGGCTCTTAATTTAATAATAATATTAGTAAATTACGCTTTGAAAATAATAAACTCGACAAGTCACGTGATTATATATCCAACAATCGATTGGTGCGAACAAAAAATCTTCGAAAATAAATTAATTATTACTGTATTAATATCACACGTTTACTTCAGTCAAATAATATAAGAAACGTCGGAATATCAGTTAAGTTTAAATATTAATATAATTTATAGTAATGGCGGCTTCCATGTCTGTTGCATTGTGAGTCATAGCAGTGTCGTTGAAGTGATACTCGCGCTTGTTTTTAAGCAAAATGGATCATATTTACACCGTTTCTAGACGTAATTGCCCGCCTACGACGGTTCCTACGAATGCTGAATGGTAAATTTTAACTTTTAATGTAAATATATGATTCAATACGTTTAGGTAATTTGTGTGTGTGTATGTATGTAGGTATTTGACTGAAAGTTACCTTTGCCTGTCACTACTATAGCATTGATGAAGTGCATTAGAAATTGTGGGAGAGATTACTTTTAAGTGAATTATCTGTGGACATATCCATGTATAAAGTAACCTAAAAGTAATGTCTGCTGAATTTTTTTGCTTAAAATCTGTCAGGATATTCTCTAACTGGGAGAGGTAGCAAATTCTACACAAAGACAAGAATACAGGCATACAGACAGACAGACACAAAATGCATGCAGACAAGTCTTGGGTGCATATACTTTTGGAATCAAACTGATCTGAGTTTACTCTGATCGTTCGAATCGTGTATACAAACTATGGCAATCTGATCAAGCTCTATTTGCTTATACAAATAGTAACTAAAATCATCTGGATTGTGATTGAACTAATCCAAGTGGTGGGTAGGATCATTTGGATCAAATAAAAAAAAGATTAAAGATGGTAACCCCTGTGGTTTAAGTCAAGCTTACAGTTGATGGTAAAGAAGTTTGTTTAACTGTGACTAAAGTATTTAAAAGCTATAAATGATAAATAGAAACATTATTAAAATATCCGATAAACCGAGATGAAAAACTAAGTATTAAGAGAGAATTTTGCAATAATGTATAGCGTGCACTCTCCATTTTGCCATTTTCTGAGCATTTTGTTCGCGGAGTAAATACAATCGTACTTATAAATTTTCTGCCAACTAACATACATGACAGAAGCACTCCGTATCACGTGACAAAGACAAATGTAAGGACAAAATTGCAGTTCTGAATGAAGAGTTTCGACCCCCAAATTTTAGACCCCTGGACTAGCAGGCACCAAAATTTGGACAATCGTCAACTCAAGGTTATGCAAAATGCTCGGTTGTTTTTTATTTGAATCTAAAACCAAATACAAACAACTGTTAGCAATGCCAATACATCAATAAATAATGTTGTGAGGGCGATTGTCATCGTTTGTGGGAAAAAGTCAAGAATCTGTAAACATGAAACAAGCAGCAACAAACTTCACACTAATTTCTTATAATGAAACAAGTGAATTCCATAATGAAAACATAAAATGGAACTTTTATGATCATTATTCTATCAACATTTATATCATTTTTAAAAATTTGTGATAGTTAGTGGTTCACATGATTCAAAATTGTGAGTTTAAATGGTTCTTGAGGTAAGAAAGGTTGGGTACTTCTGCCCTAGACGACTGAAAAAGTCAAAGGAACTGTATCTCTAATTGTGAACATTTGTGAAATATTTTAACCAAAATATTTGTAATGCTTGGCTTGACTTTGATTGCTTCTCGAAAGTAGACCATGCAGTGGCGTTTCTTGTGTTTTATGAGCTTTTAACCATCTCTAGTGAAGTAGAAAATAGTTTTTTGCATTCTTTTCAGATAGTTTGGAATTTTTTCACTTCAAATTTTAATCCATTTTGAAGGCCCTCAAAGGTCTGTATCTTGTGAAGAATCACTTATAAACTGTCAATTCCTTTGAATTTTTTGCTCCTGTAAGCATGGTCTACAGCTCTGATAAGATCCCAACCACCTCATTCACATCTGAAATTTAACTGATAAGTACTTAAACTTTGAAATGTAAACAAATACAAGTCATATGATTTTAGATAAACTAGTACAAATTTTAATAATTGTAAGAATATAGAACACATTTATGCTTTTTGTTTTTAAGTCTCTCTTCATATCTGGAGAAATTTATCATTCTGTTTGGTAGAGAATATTTTTCATTAGTGGGAAAGTTTGACATGTTAAAACACAATATACAAAGCAGAAAAATTGATATTGGTGGGTTATTCTCCCAGACGTTGCTTCGTGTGCTGCTTTCCATTCTCACATATATCGTCGTGCTTTGTTGCATCACTTAAGAAACATTGCAACAAAATGACTGAATGAAATAACCACACAAACCAAATGATTAATTAAGATTAAATTGTTTCAATTACTTAAATGCCACTTTAATTGGACGTTTGAATGAATTAATTTTTTATAAACTCTAACTAGAACTGTGGTTCTTAAAGTCGTAAAGTATAAACCTGATGTATGCTTATGATATATGGATTGTAAGCATACATCAGGTAGCTTGCAGGCACGTAGTAATTTTTCGAAGTGCAGTATTGATAACTTTGAGAACCACTGGTCTAGAAATATATCTTTTCTTTGTAACTTAAACTAGTCCCAAATTGTCTTGTAACTGAATTATTTGGCTCAGAAACATGCATGTATATGGAGACTGCATTTTTTCTTATTTACAGCAAAACATTGATTACTTTTATATTTAATTAACATTTTTTGACCAACAGGTTAACTGACGGAGCCGTCGTTATATCCGTATCCAGTCGCAATACAATTGCCTTTACCACAAACACGGACCTTCAAGATTCGATTGGAAAAATGACTCGTACATTTGTATACGTTGCGGACTTGAACGTGCCCTGGGAAGCCCACAAGTATTTTACATTTATTCATTTATTCATAAGTAAATTTAAAGTTTTAAGACTGCTAATTCATAGATTATAGTTTAATGATTGACTGATTAATTATTGACAATTCAATTAATAATTTGCTTATAATGTTAAAATTAATCAATGGTTCGTATGTATTTGCGTACCTTTAACAGCTGTCTGTTATAAGTAAGACACGTCGAGATTTTATTTGAACATATCAGCCAGCTATTATATTCGAATAAAAATTTGGTACATCTGGTGGTACATTTCGGATGATAACATCTAAAATCTTTCTTGAAGAATATGGGAAAAGGTGCAGGTGATTGTGATAAAATACCATATTTCATCTGAAATATATATTTTTAATGGACACCATCAAATCTCATATCCATGGTGAAACTAGCAATGTATATTCCTAAAGGTATAACCCCAATTTTCCTGCCTCTAGTCACCTAAACAAATGTCTGAAAGATTGCTTCTGGAATGGGAAGAGGGGATTTCTAATAGTGTGATGGCAAACAAAAATCTGTAGGTCTAGAGTGGATGTTGAGGTTTGGAAAGAGATCAATGATGATACTGCTTGATCTTATTTCAAGAAGAAATGGGATTTGCAGAAAGAACTGTCTGTATAGAGGATGACTTCGCTCCTAAAAATGTGTAATATGACAGTGCCCTAAAGCTCTGAAGAAACGACTGCAGCTATATGGAGTATAATCTCTCCCACTCGTGAGACCGAAGTCAACATCGACAAGTCAGTTGGTATATTCGGTGATTCAAATTACAGTATTGAATTAGGTTGAAATTAGGTACCGGTATGTTTGTTATTATATTATCTGTATAATGTTTGGTAATTATTAGTGTTTATGCTGTTGTTGAAAAGCTACACTATGGAAAATATGGTAAATATATTCTTTTCAATAAATATGAAATTTTGTGTTAAATTGCCCTTCAGCCTTTTAAACTTTTAAGTTTTTTATTTGAATATAATGGCCATTAAAGGCAAGGAAATATGGTAAAATTATACATAAATTAAATACTAAGATGCACATTTTGATTCTGAGTTAGCATATTATGTTTTCCTTAACACTTTTCAATGTCGCTCCGTCGGTGATTTGAATTTCTGTGGCGGCGGTCTTCTTTGGTTGCTGAAGAGGGTAGGGCTCATTACAGAAAACTTCTTAAGATAACTTCATAAGTAGTTGGTTGGATCTGTAAGATTGGGTGATCACAATGACCACAGAAATGACACAGCTGGTATTTTGGCAATCATGTCATCGAAGTGTGTTTCTCAGAGGGTAGAGATAATCAAGATAATTAACATACTACAAATTTGAACATTTTACATTAATTTGTTTGTAAATTATAACCAACACATTGAGTTTGGTTTTATAAGGATTACCCTTCAGATCACTCTGAAGTTATTTTAACAAAGAAAACAATGCCAAGAGAAGAGAAGAATAGTGACTTCAAGCTGGGATAGACTTACCGAAAACATTTATCACATTAAGACAATGGCACAGTGATTTAATATCATTTTCGAATGCTGTCTAGCTCTCCGACTGCTTAACTTTGGTAATCTGACAAGAACCATTCTCGGCAAGACTTTAAGAGTCGTTAAAAATATTATGAAAGTTTACTTTATTTTGAATAGAACTTAAAATGAATGTAATGGGTATGTGTTTCTTAATGATGTTCCATTTAAGCACTAACCACATATACAACAAAGGTCCCTTAAGATTATAATGGAGACAAAATTTCATAGTCAACTGTAACTTTTCTATGTTTAGGTACATAAATACTTATCATTATGTTACAATTGCATTACATATAGCTTATATAACTAGTAGTCTATATTTTTTAATGTTTGTTTAATGCATATTTTCAGAGTTTTGAGCCATAACGAAATTATTACGTGCGTCGAATGGGACGTAAGCGGAAACAAACTACTCATAGCCGACACCGTTGGAAATATACTGATTTGGGCCATGAAGGTAAGGAATATTTTTAAGATTTATTATTAATAAAGAGCATTAGAAGTACATTACAGAGAACGAAAATTATACACCACTTTTATTTAAATATAATATACATATTGATTTTCAAAATCTGAAAACAAAAAGTTGTTTGCTGTCAAATGTAATGCATGCTTGTACTGAATACATGAATACAGCATCTCATGAAAATAAGAGAATGCAAAGGGTAGGGAACAACAGGGAATAGAGGGTGCGAAAACTGAACAGAAGCCAAATGTCACTAGAAGAGAGTAGTTTGGGGAACATAAAAATCACATATCAATGAATTGTAAACTCAGCATCGTATTCAAAAAATAAGCTGTTAAGTTGAGTAAACTGAAAACTGTGTATGTTAGAGTAACAAGCGGAATTTTCGAGTTTGTATTATATTTTTGACAGTTAAGGCTGGTTTATGCAATTCAATTATTACTGACATTTTCTCATGCCCTTTGACAACAATTCAGATGCTTACGCAATGCGCTGCACAACTTACAAGTTGTTCTGCACATGTATGGTAGCATTTGTTTCTCACTAAAGTGAAAAGAATGCAATTCTGATCTCTTTGTCGGTTGTTTCGACAATGCAACAACGAGTGATAAATCTGACAGATTAGATATTCTGCAACATGGTTGCAACTTATCGAGCTAAGCTCACCAATAAGTTACAAATTTGTTCGAACAAGACAAATCTGTATGTATTATGGATTTCATTTAACAAAACGTCAATGGTAGTCATATCATGTAAACCAGTTTTTAGATACAAAAATATCTTTCTGAGTATTTTTAAAAATTGCAAATACTAATAATAAAATTTTTATTAAGTCTAACTTTGAATACATGCACCTCCCTTTATCTCTCCACCCCTTCAACATATAATCACAAAACTTTAATAGCATCAATGCCCCATGTATAGAAATAACCATGCCAAGTTTCAAAATATGTGGTTTATCCAGTCCTTAGGTATAATGCAAAATAGATGCTGACATGCATGCAAAACTTAACAGCTTTTTGTACATTTTTAGGCACGTGGAGTGACAAAACGTCAAGAAACTGGAGGGTCAAAATTTGACTTATTATCGTACTTTATTTTAGCCAGGAAATTAAAATTGAGCTATCGTTAACTATAATAAACATTTCAATACGTAACATAAAACTAAATCACCAGATTGTCTAATTATTAATCGTTAATATCAAAATGACTTTTTAATGGTCCCTTAACCTACCATTTGAATGCTAGAAAGTCAAGCATGAGCTCTTACCGGCTTTTTTTAAATATTTAACAGTAAACAAACTGAAATTGAAGCTAGGAAACAACAGGTGTAACACACAAAAGGCAGAAATAACATATACAAATGATTTTGATTATCAAATATAATAATTGTAATTATTTTAATTGAGGTTACATTCCTGGAAATTATGACATTAAATATATAATACTGCAAAAATATATCATTTTATACACTTAACATGGAAAATTTAAAAGCATGAGTTGTAAATTTAGCAGTCTTAAAGTCAATTATGGTTATATTATACTAATTAATCACATGCTGTCAGCACATTATTGATATGAAATTAAGTGTATAATCAAGAATATGTTTCTATTGCAATTCCAATAGCCAATATTTATATATAATGCTACATAAATTAGTTAACTAATTATTGTACTTTTAAATTTTTAGGATTTCCTATTGAACGATTGGACCCAGATTTCAAGTGCTAGCTTTCGAGGAGAACATATTCTGTCTTGTGCATGGTTTCACAATGGAAGAAAGGTATTATTTGTCCGTTATTTAATTATAATACTTGAATTTGGATTCATCTTGGTTTAAAACAGATTCAAAGTTTAATTGAGAGTTAGAATATATAGTAACAGTCACAAAATTGCATACAGTTTTTGTATAGGCTTATTATGTACCAAAAAGCATTCAACAGATGCTCAAAGTAGCATATTTAAGCTGTATGTAATCATAATGTATGTAATACCAAGAAGAAACAATGAAATTTATTTCATATAACCTATATTAAACTTAGGTAAGTGTTATTTTACATTACAGTCTCACCAATAGTGTTAATGAGCACCGTTGCAAGCACATGACATTTAGTTATGGAAGGAAAAAGTGTTCACAGCATAAGTAGGCTCAAAAACATAACACAAACAGTTATTGTTATGTCGAGTAGGATCCTAATAATTTGCAGACCACCTCAAGCTATAATAATGGCTTTGTATGTGGCACTTTGGCATAAAGGGAATGAATTTCTTTGAGTATTCTATACCAAATGCTTAATACACTCCTGCAGTTGCTGTTTATTTTCAGGCCTCTTCTCTGAAGTTTTTGAGTTCATAATGTATTGGCAGTTCTCAATAGGATTGAGATAGACACTGTTTTATTTTGATCTGCTTAATTCTCAGGTGTTAAAGGAACTTTTTTTACTTTAACAGCAATTTTTGTGTCAATTTAAGTGGTAGTAATGCTAACAAACTGTAGAGAAAGGACACATTGTATTGTGTAGTTATGTGGCACAGACTTGTCTTTGAAGATTCAGGATGTCATGTCACAAAAATTGTTCCTTGATTGCTGGAATTAACTTGTTATATGCATGGGCAGTCAAAAAGTTTCTGGAATTATAGTATAGCACTGTAATGGTAGGACATATGTAAATGCTTACCCGTTTATCTTAAAAGTAGAATCTTTCAGTGTACACACACTTGCTCCATCAATCCTGCTATTATTGGAAGCACTATTGGAAGGTTTCTTGTGGAATATTCAGGAGTTTGGCTGTCGCATTTGACTTGATGTCCTCCATGGGTACAAAACATGTCTCCTTGAGACCCATTTTCAACCTGGACAGAGTGTTATTGGGCATTTCTAAAAGCAAGTTTTGCGTAGATTGCAAAATACAGTTTGGAGGAAACAGTACAAGTGGCAGGCAGGGTGGTTTTATCATGATAACACACCAAGTCACTCTTTGCTTGTTGTGTAGCAATTCCTCGCTGACAAAAGATTTTTTTGTCATTGCCCTACCACTCATTCTTACCAGATCTTGCTCCGAGCAACTTTTAGCTGTTCCCTATACTGAAAATGGGTCTTGAGGGGATGCTTTTTGCAACCATGGAGGATATCAAATTCATTGCAAACAACCAAACTCCTGAATATTCTAAAAGAAGCTTTCTAATGGTGCTTTCAACAATGGCAAGATCAATCAGGCAAATGTATATGTGTGTGCTAAAGGGTCCTACTTTTAAAGATGAGTAGTTAAGCATTTCCACATATTTAACCATTATAGTGCCAGACCACAACTCCAGGAACTTTTTGACGACTCACGTAAAATGATTTTATAGCATTCTGCATTCACAGACCATTTTATAAAGCAAAATCTGATGCCATCTTTGCTGCAAATTATCCCACACCATATGACTCAGAATGTTACTTTCTGCATCAATTTCTGATATAGGGTTTCCATCATCTGTGCAGACTAAATTTTGATTAGTCCAAGAACACAGCCTGTTTAGCCAGATATGCTGCTGTCTGTGCATTTCACTTGTTAACAATGACTTTTTAAGTATATGGTAGACTTTTAAACTCATGTTACATAGACAACAATGTGCAGTTCATGCAGTTTATACAATTATTATATAGGATTTTTTATATTATATTAGCAGGTATTTAAAAAGTTTTCATTAGATAAACATACAAAAAGATAGTTTTTAAAATTTCTATTCTAAAATAAAGATTAAGAATAGCTAAAGAGGAGCTTCAACATGATAAAATTAATTGTGTTTGTTAAAAATTTTGCTAGCAGGAAATAGAATTCGCCTGTGTTGCATCTGTATGTTTTTAATCTGCATTTATAGTCTCATTAAAATACCAAGGAGAAAGTTAACTGGAATGAAAGACTTATCGTTTTATTATTTATTTACAGATCGGTTTGAACATGGAGAAAAAAGACAGTTCTTTATATCTTGAAAAATACACTCACGTAAAATTTGGCCCTTCGGTAAGACAGTTCGGAGGGAGGCCTTCTGATGGTTGCATTGCCGTTAGCAGTTCTGGTTTAGTAAGTATTTTAATTTTAATGATACATACAATGATTATGTATCAATATAATATGTAATGGATATAAAACTAAATTATTATATAAATTACACTTAAAAATTAAATTGAAGGCACATACTGTTGAAAAAGGAACCACTATTCATTCACTTTCTATGATGCAGAATAGAAACTTTTGACGACCAACCTTTCATTGTAGGATACTTGGCCATCAAAATTAAAACTTCTCTTAAAAACAAAGAAAACAATATCCTATTAAAAACACAAGTTTAAAAATTGGAACTGGTAATACCACAGATGTTTTCTTTACTTCCATTCGTACCACTTGGGGATTATGGAGCTTTTTATCTGCTAGAAACAAGTACTGATAAATATAGATTTTCAGCTAATGTAACATAATGTAGTGAAGTTTAATGTAAATTATACTTGTCTCAAACACTGTCGACTCTCAACCTTACAGGCAAACAGCGGAAAGCATAATACCAATTGTTTGTTGTATCTAAAGATTTTATAGTCATCTACAAAATGTATGAGATAGGCTAAAATACATGACAGATTATACTGTGGTAAATACACGAGAAATGAATGCAATATTTCCAGGTGGGGACGTAAACAACTGCCAATGTCCGTGGACTTGCTACCCTGCAAATATTCCATACGCTAATGGTTGTAGTCTGATATCATTAAGTACTATGATGACTTGTACTTGGGTTCAGAAATTTCAACCATTCAACCATATTAAATCACTTGGCATCTTAATAATTATTCGTACTGTAGCTTGTTAAGAATCATCTGGCTGTATTGTTGGACTAAATTTGGTATATTTGTTTTTAGAATGAGATGAAACAGAATTAGAAATGAAATAAGACAGTTGCCATATGTATATATGAGGTCTGCATGATTTTTGTCATGGCTTGATATTGAAATGTCTGCTAAAAAGGCAGAAATTACAATGGAAAGAGACTTTATGTAGGCTGGCACAGGATTTTGCTGTTGCTTTGTGTGTTTGGTACAAAGGTAGGCTTGTCATTGAATAAAACTGTTTATTGAAAGTGAAAGACTTACACAATCCTTGGTATTTTGCCAAGTTTGATGAAAAGTCTGTGAAGTCAAATTCTATATATTTGATCAAATAGTTGTCCATATTGAGAGAGTTTGTCAGAAAGAGATGGTAAGTTCTGAATCCATTCGCGTAGTCTTCTTCCATACGTTTTGTGTTTCATAAGCACCAAGACATTGGCTTTGTCTGCTCTGACCGATGTAACTCTGTTTAGACGTATCCATCTAGCCGTGTGCTTAATCTTTAAGAGTGGACAATACAGCAATGCACCAACACATACTAGAATTGGCTCAGTTGATGTGTTATAGTTCCATATTTCAATTTGATGGCATTGTATACACACAGAATAAAGGAGTCTCCATGGATAGTCCAGTTTCTGGAGATCTATGTGAATTGTTTGTCAGGCAACTGGAGAGCAATAATACCCTTTCCCACTTCCTCCACAACATCATCCTATACAAGAGATACATTGATGACATTATCATTTCTTGGAGGACAGCACCGAATTTGACCCTATTTGTCAACGCAATGAACAATAATCTATATGGGCTGTTCCTGGAAATAGAACAACATAGCCCCACCAGGGTCCACTTCTTACACTTAGATATCAGAATTGAGGAGTCAGACATATACATGTCTGTTTATCATAAACCATGTGCTATCTCCACTTATATACTGATTGGGTCATGTGATCTCTATCCATACAAGATGGCAGCCTTCCGGGCCTTAAGAAAACAAAATCGATTTACAAGATTTAATTGTAATACACACCAGTTAAAGGTTTAAATGAATCTAATGTTATATTCATCTCAGTGTGTGGTTCCGATTTGTATATGTTATGTCATTCAATAATCTGGGAATAATGCCATGATATTCTTTCATTTATTTTTTAATAATTTGTCATATAATTTATTATTTAATTGTAATTCATTTTTATTTATTTATTCAGACATACTGGGAAAACCCATGATGCGGGGAATACATACAACAAATCATTAGATATACAGTACAAACTATAGTAATATTACAATTCATGAATTAATACAGAGAACAAAAAAGTAGAATATACATAAATAAAATACAAATTATACAAAACCAATACTAAGTAATAATATTTTAAACAAAATATCAACATAAAAATTGTGGGAAGAACTATCCAAACAATAAAAAAAACATATATTATATTAAAAAATTGACTACACCCACCTATAAAGCCTGGTACCCACATGCGGCAATGGACGACGGAAACGGTCAACAGAACGGCAAAATGACGTCACTTTTGCTGTCGATGTTGACGGAATACGAAGTTGAAAATTTTCAAGTTTTGCCGCAACGGAAAGCGGCACAGTAAAAGTTAGACCAATAGGAAGACCGTTTATCAACATCGTCATAAAGATCATGTGGGACGATAGCATTTGAACTATGGCGGTCGGCAAGCTAAAACGCTTTATTTGTACACTAATACACTAATATATTTCATTTATACTCTATATTACTATTCGATTTAAATATTAATGTCAAATAGACTTACTTACTGCTTAAAGTATTGGGAATGAAGTATGCATAATTTGGCGACGAAAGTATTCAATATTCCTAACTTTTGACGATTTAGAATATTTTTCCTATTCAAATTATTTGTTTCTGAGGTTTTTTTTATTTGCGATAAGATCGAAGGCAAACTTAAAAAGTTTACAAATATACGAGCGCTAAGACGGCTTTTCTAGTGAAAAAGAAAAGCCATCTTATCACTCGTATATTTATACACAAGACTAGACAAGAAGCATATCGCATAATTAAAAAGTTTAATTGATATAACAAAGCAATTCCGGTAGATGCCATTTTCAACTACTGGCACATGGCCAGTAGTTCGACTACTGTAGTAGCTTGTTTATATTTACGGCTGGCAGATGGCGCGTTTCAAATGTAGGGTAATTTCCACATGTGAGTACACGCGACACGGAAAGACGACAGAGCGGCAAACGGAAACAGTCGACGGAAATCGTCGACTGTTTCCGTCGACGATTTCCGTCGTTCGTTGCCACATGTGAGTACCAGGCTTACAACAAAAAAGAAGTTAATTATCACATAAAACAGCGGATAGTCTCCCAAAATTTCTTAGCCACAAACACACATTTAAAGGAAAAATTAACACTACCTCTGAGCAAAATTGAATGCTGAATATACTTCACTCTACTCAAATGACCACTGAAACAAAATAAATCAACATAAAATTACCTAAATAATAGTTTAACCTTTTGAATAAAAATAATTAAATCAGATTATGTAAATTACCAATAAGATCCAAAAATTTTTCAAACAAAATAGTGGAGACACCAAAAATACTTTCACAAAGTTTTTCTAAGCTAGTACACCTAGCTTTCGTGTGAAATGCATCCAATAACTGATCACCTTGGCAATGTGTGCAAATATCTCTGCAATAATTCTACAAAAAATTAAGAGCGTTACATCTAATTTGCATTATCGTAGAGCTAATATTATAAGAGAAATTGTTATTATAAACAAAACAGTCAAAAAAACGATTTATTTAAATACTTGTATCAAATATTGTAAGAGCTCACTTTAATATGCCGATTGAAGTTCAAAATTAATGCCATTATTAGCATGAATATTCCTTAAACTTTTGGTCCACACAAAGTCCTTCTTATTTAAAATATAACATAAACACATTTTACTCCAACGTTTTTCATCCAATTTCATTGTTCTAAAAATCCAATTCAAACACTTATTTAATACTACAAAGGAAAAAGGTAATAGTGAACACTCCATAAAAATTAAATATCTTGGAGTACATCGAGATAAACCAAATAACTTTTTAATAAAAATAGCCAAAACCGCAGAAAATAGCCCATACCTCGGAAGCATATAACAAAGACGAAGTAACAATTAAATTATTTCTAATAAATATTTATCCAAAACATTAATAAATCCTTGTAAACCTCTAACGGAGTCGGCAATCAAAACTATATTACCTGCATATGACAATATTTTAACGCTAGTGCCATTCACATAATCAGAATTATTCTGTTCAATTAAATTATTTAAATATAAACTAAACGAAACAGGACTCAAAACACAACCCTGTCTAACACCTATAGTAGTAAAGAAAAGGCCTAGAACAAAGACAGCCCCATTTAATTATAACATTAGACTCTTTATATAATTCTGTAAGCAGAGAAACAAATTTAAAACTCAAACCATATTTTAAATCTGCGGTATCAAAAGCTGAAGACAAATCAAATATTTAATTGGAATATTTGCCGACGACAAGCAAGTTTTAAGATAAATTTAAATTTTTCTTTCAGGTTTGCGTTATAATTCTTCAGTCGGATTACAACTGCACGACGAGCAAAGAAATCCTTGGCCAGTTTAGAAATAAATTAAAAGTCGTAGACATGTGCTATGCAAAAAGTAAGTACAATTACTTTGAGTTTACAAATTAGACAATTCTATCAAATATATTAAATACTGAATGATGGATTGATCAATGGGATGAGATAATGTAATACGGGGACAATCTGCCAAGGGAGTGTCTTTTGAGTGAACTTCTATGAGAAACTGTCTCCTATTTAAGCATTAAATGTGTGAAAAAACTTGAAAAACTCCACATTGGTGGGGTCCAAACCTGCAGCCAGCTACTGGCATTTGATGGTGTTATCCATTCAGTCACCAGTTGGCCTACCAAATGAGACACATTCGCACAATTAGGTATAAGACGAGCAACAATTATGCCCGTTATAAGTGAGCCTGACTTGCAATAGGATCAACAGTAGGTGCAAGGGATAGGGAATGTATTCTCATTCTATACAGTCCACAATAAATTATAGAATTCTGAATTCTGAATTCTTCATAGCTACGGGCTGAACGTTACCTTCGTCTGGTATTGCGTGTTTCGTCTGACCAATGGGAAATTTTAGTTAATAAATTTATTAATAATTGATATTGTTACTACATGCAGAGATGCTGAAGTTATTTAATAATAATAATTTACTGTGGATACAAAAGTCGCTTCAGGCTGTGTCTGTTTTTGCTATGCAATAACTAATTGCAATTGCACTGAAGTATAGGTGTAGTGATAGTGGGCTATTCGTTTGATTAGATGCCAGGCACCTCAATCCTCCAAATAGTTTTACAATTAGTTATATATTTTTATGCATATAATCTACAGTTTATCTGTGTTTAAAAGACAATTTGTGCAGGTATTGCGAGACAGTGGTTATACTGATTTTAAACTGTAATTACAAACTTGTGCCTCTAGAGCAATAGCTGTTCCAAAGGTATGTGGTAGGGTGGGTTACAGCAAGAAAATATGGTAGAAAATTCAGCATAAAAATTGGCAGACTTCTACATTTGTTTGTATACATCGACGCAACACATATGTGATCTGCGGGGATGTCTCCTGGAAGGACTTTCTATGGGAAACTGGCCGTTATTTAGGTGTTACATACAAGAAGAAATACCAGAAAACTCCACATGGTCAGCCTGTTGGTGAGGTGCAAACCCACGACCATCTAACAGTGTTTGGTGGTTTTTTTACTCAGTCACCGGTGGGTAAATTCTGTATGGAATTCTGCAATTTTAATACAGAAAATACATGGTTACTTTTTACTTTTATACAACTAAAATATGCATTAACGTTTATTAAGGATTTTAATAATTAGCAAATGACAATATTGTGCTAAATATTTATTTATTCAGAAAACTAAATATATAATTTGAAGATTTTTAATTCTTTAACAAATTAAGAATTTTTTGATTTTATAATACATCTTTGCTTAATTATTTTTCAGACGGAGACTTCTTAGTCGTCGCCAGCGACGGACAGGTTCACTCTTCGGTCCATTGTTACCGTGTTGCTTTAAAGATAAATCAAGGTGAGCAGAAGAGAGATTTTATTTAATAATCTAATGTATTAAATTACAATATTTCATTATCTTGTGAACACTTTACTGCATGTTATTTGTTCTTTATTGGGTTTTCTTTTCATAACTATTCATATCTATCTGAGCCTCTTAGACTTAATAAACTCTTGTATCTCATCTTTTAAAATTAAAATTTTCTGGCTATTAATATAGCACTGATGCGCATTTCTTTCTTTAATTCTGTATTATTCATTTTCACATTAAAATCTTCCTTTTGTTCATTTAATAGGGAACAATTATAGCACTTTTGTATGTATAACCCATAGAAAATTGCTAAAATGAAAACAAACCCTTTATTTAACTTGCTCCACCGCATACATCCTGCTCGTAAGAGCAACAATTTCTTTATAGGCTCGAGTCTATAATTGCAATTTAAATTGGCATATAATCCATGCTCCCTTTTAAATATAGATTACCTGTGGGTTATACGCACAAATATACAGTAAATTTCTTCTTGGCGGCTTGTAGCGAAAGCTTTAGAATGAAGTTATCAACTTATATCCTTCTAAGTGGCATTATCATCACATGTTTCTATCACGTACAGTACATCAGAGAAGACTATAAAGTATTTTTCATTTGTACACTTGGAGATTCTAGAGGGTGACAATTGAATGTATGAAGACTTTACAATTGAAATTTTACTACATCAACATCTTTTTAAGAATATTTTCAATATTTTACTGACGGTCTCAATCTTTTTCGGGGGTTGCTCGGCCTTTAAGAGAGATTGAGGCTGTGTTAACTGCCTTTTAATGTCTATTCTAGTCATTACATGTGTGCAAAGAATGGTTTTGTCATTAAAAGATTGTCTGTGTAATTAAGATGGATACTTAAAATGGATATTTAATTATGCAAACAATTATTTATTCATTTTATAATAAAATTTCCATATTTTATATAATAAATTTAGTCTTTATAATTTCAGAAAAGTGTGTTATCAACTGCCAGCCTTTTTCTAGTTTTTATTTAAGTTGTCATACATCTGGACCAACTATGGATAAACAAGGTAAACAATATAAATACATTATATTTACCTGTATATATTCTTCATTGTTACATGCATAATAATATATACAATATATATGTATATACAGGGTGGTCCAAAAAGTACTTGCCAGTTTAATGCTTCATTATACCACAATACTTTGTCCTCAGTGACCTTCCTCAGTTTACACACTGCATTTTGAAGAGTGTCTCTTACATTTACATTCACAACCAAAGATCAAGAGTTAAACCCAATTTACAAAAAGCATGAGCAGCCGATGTCTGTTGCAACTAAAATTCTTCACTCCATTTCATTTAAACAATAGTGCTTGTCAAGTGACATTCGTGTACACACAACTATTGCATATAATAAAAAAAATATTGAATTTTTACAGTTGCAAGTTCAGGATGGAACACCTTATAGCATTATTTGACTCATGCAATATTGCTTGAATGACATGTGCATTTAAAATATGATGAACTTTCTTCTCAGTCCTATGCTTTTCAAAGGGCGTGGTGATATTACGAATTGACAGCTTTAATTGTATCTTTCCAATGCTCCCAGTGTTGTGCTATATGGATGGCTTCATACATTGTAAGTCCTGTAATCATTATTACTTGGTCTGCCCACTTAATCTGACATTTATTTCTAGGGCGTTTGCCATTAATCTTCCTTTCTAGTATTTGTTTCTCAAATCCACTTCTGTGTCTGGAAATATGTCCCAAGAAGCAAAGGTAGGATTGGTAGTTTAGTGATAAGGCGTGTTGTAATTTTCAGTTGATTTAAGATGGAGCAATTTGTTCGGTGCTCCTGCAAGAGATTTTCAGCAATCTTCTCTATATCTATATTTTAAAGGAATCAAGTTTCTTCCACAAAGTGGCATTTATGGTTTGGGTTTCCGAGGACAAAGTGGCAATCAGAAAAATAAGTGATCATATGCGCTTTAGTTTATTAAAAATAGTGATTGTAGCATCTTTGAAAATTCTAGATAATTTAGAGGTTGCATTGCGAGCGAGTCAAATTCTGCATTTAATTTCATTATCATATCCTCCTTTATTCGTAAGAAGTGATTCAAGGAAAACAAATTCATTCACCGCCTTATAGCTGCAATTTCTTTAGTCTGTGTCTAGGAACGATCAGTTATAACTTTCATTTTACTTTTATTGATCAGCAATTCATATTCCCTGCTCTCAGTTTCAAGATGTTTCATAATATATTCAAATTCTGATTCATTGGATGCTATAATAAGTATATCGTCAGTGTATCTCAGGTTGTTAACTTTACAGCCACTGATGGAAATGCCTCCGTCCCAGTTATCTAATACCCTTCTCATAATTATTTCAGAATAAGCATTAAAGAGTAAAGGGGAAAGGATACATCCCTGTCTTACACCAGCTTCAGATATAAATGGATTAGACATAGGTTTGTTAGCTCTTACTCTTGCAGAGTTATTCTCATATAAATTTCTGATCATCAAAATAAGATGGTGCGGGATTCCCACGTTCTGGAGAGTGGGCCATAATTTATGCCATTTTACACAATAAAGGCTTTGGTATAGTCTACGAAACAAAGGTAAGCTTTGACGTTAAATTCATAGGTTTTTTCAGTGATTTGTCAAGCATTTAAGATTTCTTCATGAGTTCCTTTACCAGGGATAAACCCTTACTGTTCTTCAGCTATTTTGGGTAATAGGAAGGGTTTCAAACAGTTATTAATTATTTGGAGTATTACTTTACTGGCATGGTTAATTAGGCTGATAGTTCTAAGTTACTACAGTCTGTTGGTGCACCTTTTTTATAAATTGGAATAAATATTGATTTACACCATTCCTCTGGCCATCTCTCAGATTTCCAAATTAAGGAGCAGATTTTATGAAATATGTCAACACCCAGTTCTCCCATTTCTTTTAAAATTTCGGAGGTTATGTTGTCAGGTCCCAGAGCTTTGTGATTTCTTAATGTACTTATGGCTTTTTCTACCTCTGATTTAAGAATAGATGGTTCATCTTCCTCTGTCCATCCATTCTGAAGTTAATTATTACCATTTGTTTTTCCACTATCTTTATAAAGTTTCTCACAATACTTCTTCCAGACATCCTCAATCCCTTCGGCATGAGTTATGATTTCATTTTCAACATTTTTAATTATTTGTGTGCGTGGTTTGAACTCTCTTGCTAGATATCTAACATTATCATATAGTTCATGAGTCTGATTATTATTTGCATGGACTTCAATTTCATTGTATATACTGTCGATATAATCATTTTTGTCTTTCTCACAAGCCTTTTTGATCTTTTCATCTAGTTCTTTCTTCTTTTTCATATGCAACGATTGCTGAAGTTAATAATTTTTTTCTTTCATCTATTAATTCGAGGGTACTATTTGTCATTCATTGTTTCTTTTTCTGTGGCCAATGTTGTGTGGTGCATTGTTGTACTCCAGTTAAAATCCAACCTTTTGTTTTGTATCCATAAATCATATGGGTTGTTTGTAAAGGATGGAGGGTCTAAATTTCGGAGAGTCTGTTGTAAGATTGAACTAGCTGGAGTCTCAAGTCTTGGGTTGTTCTTTGATATTTTTGTTGTATGGAGTTTTAATGTTACTTCCACTTTTAGTAGCTTATGATCAGAGTTGCATAATGCTCCAGGTCTTGCTCTGACATTATTTACTGATCTCCATCTTGTTCTTATTAACACGTAATCAATTTAGTTTTTATATTCACCCGTTGGGGAGGTCCAAGTAGAAAGACGTCGATAATGGTGTTTGAATATGGTGTTAGTTATTGAAAAACTGTTATCAATTGCCAACTGAAGGTGTCTATTTCCTCTCTCATTTCTGGTGCCCAGTCCAGATTGTCTTATAATGCACCGTAGATTATCATTATTTTTTGTATTGCCTATCTTAACACTAAAATCTCTCATTATTATCAATATGTCCTTCTGTGGTATTTCTATGATGATGATTTTCAATTTGTGTGTACACTCTGTCCACTTCATCGTCCGAAGCAGCCGAACTGGGCATATAAACCTGAATAATATGAAGTTTTTTACTGACGAACTACTCGTCGTAAATAATGGACATTTATATGTCCTAATTATTATAAAAAATAATAAAGAGAGGAGTGCTTACAAATACTTGTTTGAGCAATTAGTAAATTACCTCAAAGGTAAAAATTTAGCGAAAATAAGATTTAATTGCTCAGTATACTTCAATTATATTAAATATTCCTTTTACTGTATATGTATATATCAGAACAAACAAGATTAAATATCTCAGAGATCAATTTTCTCAGGAATTTGTTTATTTTTAAGAGATCTTTCACTATATATATATAAGATTTTCTCAAATAAGCTTACTTTCATATAATGAACAGAGAAATTTGAATCCACTCAAGTTCATCTAGTATAAATGTATAAGCTGCAAACAATGAAGACTTGTGTGCAACATACCATTGGCTGATTATGCTTAGTATAGATTAGACTTTAGATTTAGAAGTCAACTAAAAGTAAAGGAAATGGTAACTAGTTAACTTCAAATTTAACTCTCAATCATTTGTTGTGAATACAACCACTACAGTAGCAAAGAGTTCTTGCCTGCTAGACAACTCAACACTTCCAAAGTCTTTGAATTTGTCTGATATTTGTATTCTCAAGATACTTCTGTATAAAGAAGTCACACTAATTCGAATGTGAAGAATTTTCAGTACAGGGTAGTCAGTTTTTCTATCCGTAATGCAAACTAATAGCATTATCTCTGGAATAGTGATTTAGGCATTTTTTCCCCTCGCGTAACATTGCGCCCCAGAGCAGGCAACGGGAAACCACTCTGGATAGTAACTTTCCCTAGTAACACCTTGGCGCGTTACTAACTACTTACTAACCTACGCCAGGTGTCGCCGACGTCAGGAATCTGATATGGCACCAAGAAGAAGAAGTGATTTAGAAAGTTAAAATGTAAACAGGTTATAAACAAATAGCTTGAGTTTCTGTAAATTACACTCGCTTTTTGCAGAGAAGGTCTCATTTAAATTTGGCAGATACTTTTTGGGCCATCCTGTATATATACGTATATAAAAATAAGTGACTAAATTTTATTTTAACCTTATTTAACAGTTATTAATATTTCAGCATTTGTTAGAGTAACGCATTTGAAATTTGTTTTAAGAGAAGCAGCGGATGCAGTCGTGGTTTCTGCGTCAGGTAATGATATTTTCAAATAAAGCAAGAGTAAAACTTTATATTCAAAATCACATTAAAATAGCTATAAATTATATTATTTTATTATGAAATTTCAATAGGTCCTATGGGCAGTATCGTCGAGTTGTGGGAATTGAGGGAAAAGCCTGTCACTTTTCACAAGATGTTCCACAGCACAGCTACTGATATTCAACCAAAAACAGTGGTTAGTAATATATATATATATATATATACTTTATAAAGGTATAATTAATGGGCAGTTCCTAATATGCAGTTACATGAGGCAGTTCAATAAGAAAGATACACTTTTATATGTTAAAGAATAATCAATGAACCTGTAGCCAGGCATTATACATCAATCACTACAATAATTCTTAAGTTATTAACCTGAAATTAGAAACCAAACGTTCAATGATGCACAGCAAATCAATAATCAAATTTATTTATACTTTTTCTAGTTAGTCTTTCTCTATATGCATTATCATTGCCTTAATTTTTGAAGATCGTGTGACAAGGATGATCTATAGATGATGTCCTTCACATGTTTACAAAGTAACTGTACACTGTCAAATAAATTTGAAACTCTTCCTTGTTCATTGAATTTCTTGTTTGCGTCTCTCTCGACACATGTAAACAAACTAAGCAAGGTCAAAATTCTGTGTTTGATTTGTGTGCCTGCTTGTTGCATCTCTATGTAGGATGCAAACCGAAGTGATTTTTTACTATATTTGTTATACTTCTATGATATATTTAGCAACATAACAAAGTACATAGTAAAAAGCTAATAAATTTTTTCATTTATTAATTATAGGGTTGGCAGCATCATGCTTCATCAACTGCACTGTCTTCTGTAGTCGGGATAGCCACTCCTAGACTTTCTATATACGACATCAGTCCGCCGCCTTCCTACATATTAGTCGCCTATAAGGATTGCGTAATTAAATGCTTCTATCGGTAAGACGATTTACATAGTTTACGTAACAGTAATTTTTTTACGACAATGTTTTTCGACAAATGTATAATTTCAGAGAATCCTTGCAATTGGTCTGCAGCATCAGCGTTAATACAGGAACGCACAGAAGAGACGATCACAGTGTGTATTTGTTTTGATAACATGTTTAAATTTATAAAGAATATGTCGTAACAATTTATTTATTTAGCTTTAAAACAATACTTTGGCGGAACTACTTTGTGCGACATGCAACTCACGTGGACTGGTTGCACGTTAATTGCCATCGACTCACTTTCACAGCTGTTTCTGTATCGTTTATCTCCCATAACCGATCCAGGTAATGATAATTTCAACTTTGACTTGAATTTAGTCTTGCTATGGGTCTGTTTGGAAATGCTTACTGATTCAATTATTGAGAATGGGTGTCATTCAGAAACATTATCTATAAAGTTTCCAGTAATTTGCCAGTTGCTGCCAAATTTACCAATCTTAGAAAGTGGGCAGACAGTAATCAACTGAATACCAATGACATTGTTCACTACTACTGGTCAATCGGTAAGCATTTTCAAACAGACCACATGTAAGCCCTCTTAACCTATACAACTTCTTGAACCGCTCGGTTTCACCAAGAAAAATCTAAGATGGAATTTCAATATTAATGTGAAACCTTTTGCTCTATGTTTGCTTGCTTGTGGAATATTTATTCCTTGAAAAGAGGTGGGACCAATGAGCAAAAGACCTCCTCTTTGGCTCCTATACCATTGCACTGAGAAAAACATTTCTGTCCGCAACAGGAGACTGCTGATGTAATAATTGCCATTTTGAATAGTTTCCACTTTATCTTAACATCAGATCACTCCAGGAATTGCCTGACACCTGGAAGAAATATAATTTGAAAGAATCTTCGTTTGTGAAAAGGTTAATCCTAATTTTCAATTTGATTACTTTCACAGGTGGGCCAATGAGTGTAAATTATGCCATAACAATGTTAGAATATTGTTTAATGACCGGAACTGACTGTTGGGATGTTATATTAAGTCTTAGACCAGGTAATTATCTATTTTAAAATCATTAAAAATATTAATTAATATTAAAAATGACTCGATAATTTGGTAATTTTTTTCTCTCCAGGACTGATCGAAACAATTTGCGATAAACTCACAGAATCATTTAACAAACAACCGATGGGCATTCAACAATATTGGTATAGTCGATTTTTAGCCCTCAAAGGATCTCTTTACAGGTATGGCTTCAAGATATTATGTATAAAATATGCAAAAGCCTTATTAAATTCCAATAAATTGATGGCGAATACAGGTGTATAAGCACAGGACAAGCTAAAGCCGGCGATTGTCACGCATTAATTATGTTAAATGCAGTAGCAACAGCAATGAAAGGTTTACTGAGACCCAGAGACCTGTCCACGCAAGACAAAGGACCTGCTGAGAATCTTAATGGTGAGGATTTTAATATATAAAACTGAAAAATCTATTAAACTTACATTAAAATCTATATATTTTTTGTGTGTGTTTTTAAAGCTGTTATGAACAGTAAAGGAGCAGAAACCATTGTAAATATTGATAAAGTGCTAATTCATCTGGAGTCAAAAGAATTCACCGTAGAACCTCCCATTTTGCAGTCCCTGCAACATTTGACGCAGTGGGTGGCGGACACGGCTCTGTTTATTCTCTCCTCTCTGCCGCAACAGTATCATAATCACATGAGGTTCCCCGGAGTGAGTAGAGAGCTCGTTACTCGATAATCTAAAACAAAATATGCCTACTAATTAGAATTTTATATGTAGGGAGGACTCATAGCGGATCCAAAAGCGCTGAATACGCTTCGAGAGTTGCTCGTCATTATTCGAATTTGGAGCTTTTTGAGCGAGAGCTGTCTACCAGTGTTTACGAGAATGGCAGGTAAAATACACATAAAAGACTGTATTCAAGTAAAATTTCTGATTTAAAAATGTTATTGATACTTCAATTTCCTGGAATAAAGTGAATCTTATCTGGTCTTGCAGTCCTCTTCCTACAAGCTCTTGCTCTTTAAGAACTTGCTTGAAGAAAAATAATATCCTTTCTCTGTTTTTAATTTAATTTAAGCTCTATTGATTATATTTCAGAAAATTTAGATGTCTTGGCTCTTCTCTTTGTCCTGTTGACCAAAACTCTCATGTGCCAAGGCGGTGAACCTGACGAGAAGCTTTTAGGTGAGTAACTGTTGAAGGTGAAATGTATAATCAGATCATAACTTACACAAAATTTATTCTATACCTCAAAGATGAATGTGGTTTGCTTCCCAATCAAGTACTGGTTCCGACCATCGAAGTAGGAATTAATGCTCAAGGTAAGCTTTTAAGTTTCACCCCGCACAATTGCAGAAATATAACTTTGCAACTTCTTCAGGTGTTGCAAGTCCCGCACTGTTTATAAACTCCCTGCCGCTCCAGTTTGAATACTTCAATCAACCCGATTTCCTTTGTTACACCAGTAAGGTGCACGCAGTAGAAGGAACCATACCTTTGAATCACAAAGTGGATATTGTGCGCCACGTCAGCCTGGGAGCAAACCCCTCCACGGTCAGGCAGTGTACCAGGTAGGTTACTCCCCAAGAGAAATGCTCTCACCATTGCACTTTTTACAAATCAAGTTATCTTTTCAGGTGCTCTTCCTCCTCCATGCTGAAAGCCGGTGCCAGATCGGCAGCCACCAGAGCCTGGGACCAGAGGTGGCTCCGTTTCTGCCCCTGTGGTGGCCAGTGGAGGATGGTGCAGTCGATCAGATGATAGACTGCATTCCTCATTGTTTTCATCATTGTAAATATCCTGATCACAACAAAATCATTTTCTTTTTTACCAAATCTTTGTACTTTTTTTGTTTAATAAACTACATAAATTAGCCGTAATTTGCATTTTATAAGCCAATAAATACGTTAATAATGAATAAAGCTTTACTACGATTGGTTTAAAAGACGTAAGTTAAATTACCGAACACGTGAATAAAATTTACATATAAGTTAATCCCATTGGTGGAAATTACGTATTCAATTTGCTTCTGTTCTCTCATTGGTCAAGAGATAGGAATATTAAATTAACTTCTTTGTAACGACCAATGAAAGTAAGGTAGGTGTGTCGTATAGCTTACGTAATCGGATTCCCTCCATTCAGAGTATGAGTTTTATTTTAAGGCGTTCTTTATGTCTTTAGCTATTTTTTTTTTATAGTCATTCATTGGTCAATATTAGTTTAAATATTTAAAAATTACTCATTTATATTTTTTGTCGTGTGTTGAATGAAAAAATTAGAATAACATTTAATGATCATTTCTAAATTTCAATTAAAAAATGAAAAGACTCGTTGGTTTGCTTTTTCTCATCACAGATGGCGCTGTCGAATTATTTCTCAATTTACTTTAAATTATTCATGTTTAGAAGCTTGTGTGTACGTATTTACACTTAAAAAAATAATATTTCAATTGAAATTTATAAATGCTTTATTATTGGAGGGATATTCTGCTGTATTTCTACTGACGTATGTTCCCAATCCTAATACGGAGGCAAGAGGGCGTGGCACAGCCAATGGCCGTACAGTAGTAGCTTTACAGAGAGTATGAGCATTGGCTTACCACGCCTTTTTGCCTAATCTATATATATAATCGAGACGAGTTGATAATGATAATAATAATAAGCGCAGAGCCCAAACGGTTAGGAGTTGAAATTTGGCATATACAGTAGTTAGGGTACTGTACGTCACGAAAACGCACACTAAGAAGAGATTTTTCAAAATTCCTCCCCACAGGAGAGAGGGACAGGATTAAGGCTTAATACTTCCATCAACAATGGAAGTTTTAAGTAACAATGGAATTGTTAAGAGAAAGCGACGTGCAAGACGCGGATGCAGTTTTTTGGTTTTTGCGAGAAATCGAACATATTTTTAGACCCATCTAAAAATTCTTTAATTAGTCCGGAAATAGGAGGACCCAACTCTTGCATTCTGTGAAAACGGGTAAGGTTGACTATAACGTAATAATCTCAATCTTCACTATCGTTACTTTTGCCCGAGCAACGCCGGGCCTACCTGCTAGTATTAATAATAATACTCTTAAGTTTTTGTTTATAAACACTATAAATGCTTTTATTATTCATTGCAAAACGCTTAATAGCGATTTTAATCAGGTAATCCTCTTCACCAATAGAAAATTGGAACGTGCAGCAACGTCACTGCCCTCTTGCGGGATGATTGGCTATTTCTTCTGGTGACTTAATTTTTAAAAAAGAACAGGCGCCATCTGTGATCAGCGAAACAAACTAATTTATTATTGATAAATTTTACTAAATAAAAATAAAATCCTTCATTTATAAAAAAATTATTTTAGTTTTTTATAAAAAAGTTTTCATCGTAATAGCATTTAAAATTTTAAATAAAAATGAAGTCTTTTAATATATACTAGAATCTTTGCCCGTTGCTAAACTTACAGTAGCTCCTCCTCTGCTCTGTGATTGGCTAAAACCTTATTACATGACGTGTATCTTCAACTTAACATCGTCGATTGGATAGAGTTGATATTAAAAGAGATTGATCTGTGCTCTGATAGGTTAAAGATTTAAACACAACGTAACTTTGCTTTTACTCAATTCGTCGCTCCTTATTCGGAGCGTTATTTAACTGCATTGCTGTCAGTTTATATTTTAAATTAATATATTGTTTTAACAATGCTAATTTCTTATGATTATTGAATAATTAAGTAAAAATCACTATAAATTTTGTAAAATATTGCATAGAATCATGCAGTAAATTAACTGCTATTACTTGTCACTTATAAGGTGCATTCATTTTATAAAAATGATGTGTAATATCACGTGAATTTTATGTCATGATACCTTTACGAATGACGTCAAACTAACATAAAATTGGTACATTAAGGTATAACATATAATATATTTTTTAGTTAGAATAGTATACAATTTGACGTAAGTTTTACGTCATTTCTGAGTAATATATATATTTTTTTGTAATAAAGAAGTATGAAATGACGTTAAACTGACGTAACAGTATACACTATTTTGGCAAATCGAATGTACTGTACAGTACTAGTAATTTAATAATTTTGTGAAAACGATGGCCTCCATTAATATTTTTCAATTTAGAATATTTTGTTTCATGAATTGTATCTCTAAACTCTCTTCAGTAATTATATTGGCATTTTGAAGTTTCGTAATAAAATAGAAATGATAAATATCTGTTATTTGTTTGATCATATCCGGCTGATATTTTATAATCAAATGATAAATGACATTCTCGGGAGCCCACCAGTGGCCAAGCGGTCTTCATACCCTAAACACTGGGCGTTCGGTCGTGAGGTTCGCGCCTCGCTCGGACGAGCTGGCCACGTGGAGTTTTCCGGGTTTTCTCCACGTCTATAATGCCTAAATAAAAGCCAGTTTAAAAAGACCTCCCGGAAGGCATTCCCCCTAAACAGATCGCCCAAATGTTACGTTGCCATAACTCAAACAAACAAAACCATTCTCAGCAACTAATCAACACTTGGTGTTCATCCTTTTCCACAATTAAGCTCCACCTACTTGCATGCTATTGGTCTAAGAAAATACGGATGTCGTCTTATGCGATAAGTTCCTCCTTCAGTTATGATAACCGAACCAATCAGCTTAAAGTAAAAATGTTCTTAGTAACGTTACTAAATTCTTAGAGATATAAGACACGTCTATGTTTTGTTACGAAATACAGTAGTAACAATAAAACATATTTCGAAGTAATTTACTACTAAAATAAAACGATTAAATGATAACAAACAGTGTTTTAGCCATATAATTTAATTCCACCTATCGCTGTTTACTATCCTAGTATGATAGGCGTATCTAACAAGTTCATTGGCTGATTTGTTTTTGAATTTGTCGACGTAACTATGCTACTGCTATTGGCCGTTTATTTATTGCCCGCCTACTTTTATCTTATATTTTTATATTGTATTTTTTAACCTTAAAAAAATTAATTTTTTTTATTTTAAAGCATAACTATAAGATTTTTCGAGGGATAATTCTCTTCGGATATATTGAGCCGTTCCTCACTATTTTATGGGCTTGGCTGAAGCTACAATGGTTTTGATTAAAGTCCCTTTTAGTGTTCACAGGACAGAGAGCTTACTTTAAAAAAAAAAACTATTTGTTGAAGGGAGACTATTCCATTTCAAAATGACAATTTGGCTCACCCGTGAATAATTCGTGGCAGTTATTATTTACGTCCTTATTTGGAAGTGTGGTGTTTGACTCTCTCGCAATACAGGCTGTTTATATCTCATTATAGGCTATCTTACGTAAAATTCGTTTTGTAATTAACTGGTATCTTTCAATGCAAATGACTAATTGGAATTATTAATCTTTCCTTCTTCCTATTCGTTATATCGAGGTCAACAGTATTCTCGATAGTATAATTTTTTTTATTACTGGGTTAAAATAACAAATGAAGACGTAGAATATTTGTTAGAACCTTAGACCAATAAAGATACGCTTCTTTTACAACGTTTCGCTGCTTGATTGGTTTATCATTTTAGTAGGCGGTACTTAACATATAAGCCGGCTTTCACTACTCATTCATTGAGCGATATCATGAGATGTAGGCGGAACTTGCTAGCTGGAAAGAATACATACTAACCGTTGATTGGTTCATATTTTTAACGATATTATTTATCATTCATTACTTAATTAATTAAATTTAAATAATATTTTATAAATAAACGAATTGAGTTAAGTTTAAGATTATTGTCAATTATTCTAAATCACGTTATAAGGTTATGCTTTCACTATAAACACTAAAAACATTTTATCGTTTTTTTAAATATGTTAGTTTTATTTTCAAAAATCGCAGAATTAATCATATAATTTGAATTTTTAAATTAAAATTTTTAAAAAAATCTGTAAATTCAGGTATAAGAGATTTCCACAGCTACAGTCGTTATGTCTAAATACAGTCGACCCCCCTATAACACTGTTTATAATTCCGTTTTATAAGAATTCCATGTTGTACGAGTCACTTAGATTTTAGAAATACGTGAACCGTTCACAGCCCGGCACACATATTTGTAAAATCTAAGTGACTCGTACAACATGGATTTCTTATAAAACGGAATTATCAACAGTGTTATAGGGGGCCGACTGTACAAAAACTTCTGTTTAAATATTCGAGGATTACTCTATATGGCGCTCAGATACAAAGTGAACTCCAAAATTTATTGTCCTATTAGAACAAAATATAAAGAATTTATTATTATTTTTAAACGAAATACAATTATTTGTTTTAAATGAATGAACGAAGAAAGTTAAGTGTTTAAAAATTTAAAATTTGAATTTAAATAATCAATCAATTTAGGGTTTAAAAATCTCGAATGTTTATTGGCTGTAAGAAGTGATTCAAAACATAGATTTAAAATTCGCAACGATGATTGGTTTCGTCACATTAGGGCGGAGTTAACGAAAATATATTCGGTGTCGTTTGTAAATGTCAAAATTAACGATTAACGTTGTTTTTGTTTTAATTTTATATTATAAGTTGATATCCTCGGCTTTTAAAGTAAGAAATGTGAATCTGTATATAATTTTTTATACATCTACTTCTATATATATGAAGAAGGCTAGAAGTCATATGTTATTCTCACGTGACTTATCACCGTGACGTAGATAATAAAACTTATAGGTTAGAAGTGTAAAATATCTATTTTTCCATAATATATTAATAATAATACAGTTACGTTTAGTTTAAATTTGATACCAAAATAAATATACAATAAAAATTAGGTTTAATTATTAATGATCGTTACAATTCGTTGTCCCTCTAGTGTCAAAATATTGCAATATTTTTAAAACTTCGTTTCATTGACTTTTTTCTTATAATCAATTAATATTTGATAAAAATTAAATTTTTAAATATTAAAAGAATTTTTAAAATATTTTTATTCTACTAAAAGTTAAATTAAATTATATATTTATATTATTATATTTCAAAGTTATTATATTTCAAAGTAGTGAATTAATAATGACGCCATTTGATTGGTGCCGAAACCCAAGTTTTAATTAAAATAAGCTGTATGTTTATATAATTACTTAATACAAGTAAAAATAATAATAATAAATTTAAGCAATTTTACTTTTAAACCTGTAATAATTTAGATAATTGTTAAGTTTAGGGAATTTTTATAATACAATACTTATAAAATGAAAAAGGCGCCATTTGATTGGTACTGGATCTTAAAATTTTAAAGAAAAGGCGATTCAGCAATAAATTTGCAGTAAGTTTTGTTTTTATAAAGACTAAACGTTTTAATTTGATAAGAAAATCGCTAATTTCTCTCATTAATTAAGACGTTGAAAAGATTATCGAAAAACATCGGCAATATTTTATATGCTGTCCATTCTAGATATGTTGAATTCACTCCTCAACACGCAGCCGCTTCCATCCTGAATCTAGCCAAATCCACAATGAGTATAGATAAAAGGCCCTCAGTGCCCACAGGGCAGAAAGAGTAAAAACAAACTTAAATAGGAGACACCATAAAGGCAGATTGTTTATCTGTGTAAATTTAGCAGTGGTGTGGATTGGGTTTAAACATCCGACTTCTGACGCCAATGTAAGTTAGCTGACCTGGTGGATATTGGGGACTTAAAATCCCGCTTCACTGACACCAGTGTAACTTTAAACTAAAAATCCCACTTCTTGCACCAGTATAAGTTTTCTGACTCTTAGGGGGATCGTGTTGTTAAACAATTTGTAAGAATCCGTTGGTCGGCGTCGGCGACGGCACGGCTTCGGTATCGACAATAAGACAGAAAAGATTCGTCCCAAGTGTTGACACAGCGCTTCCGATTTTCACTCCTTTGTGTTGACTCGCCGAGTGCCTCGTGTCCTTCACGATCGGAAATTGATGTAATCTCCGATCTCTCCTTTTTGTCCATTCTGATTGGTTCTATGTTTGTCCCTAAGCGAAAGACGACACTTGTTCGGGTCCCGAGAATGTTCGCTTCGGGGAATTTACCAGACACCATCCGTTAACTCTGGATGAAAGGTATAGATGGGACTTTGAACTTGTGCTCATTTTACCCCATTGTTGTCTAGTCTATGACGTCTTAGAAATTTAACGACCTGACACAATGTCCCCTTTTATAATTAACCTTTCCCCGCTTCAAGATTTTCTATGTTTTAATTATTTGTGTACGAATGCCTTGTCAAAGGTCCATCCTACTGGAGGACGTTCGTTTACATATATTGCGCCATGTTTTACATTAATAGTATTTTTTCTCTTCTCGGTTTTATATGACTAGAACAACTGAATCCGATATTTGATCGGTTTTAATAATGAAGGTATTTTTCATCTCTAGTTTTGTTTCGATAAATTTCCAATATAAATGTTTAATTTCAACCCTTTTGTGGGACCTCTTTCATCATTCCAACCTACTCGTTCAATTTTGCTTTGAGGACTCTAAAGGCATTTTTTCCAGACTTATCGTTGGCTCATTCAGACCCTCAGTAAAGACGATTGAGTGGTGAGGAATGGCCCGACATATCCGGACCTATAAACATTTTTTGAAGTATTGCTCGTTTGAATCGATCTGAGGTCCTTTACGGCGGTAGAATAATGTCCTAGTTTACACGTATCAATCATTTGGTCATTTATAACATGTATTGTACTTCCCTTATAAATGGCCTTCTTAGTGCTTATAGTGCAAGAGAATTGAACAGAAAAATAAGAAATTAGACAATTCAAGTTTGACTCAAATATCATAAATAAATGTTTGTTATTTATTTGATAAATGTTTTATTGTGAATAGACAGAGTCGGGGCATCGTTTCTGCATTTAGTTATTCTAACCGACCCTATCTGGACCGTATTTGCACGTAATAAGCTAAATTGTGGCCGTATACATATAACCAACAAGCTAACTGCTAGTACAGTACCCCGTGTCAGCAAATCATTAACTGTACAGTACAAGGATTTGAATATTCATTAGCTTAGATTGTGCACCACTACTGAAATAATACTTTTTCCTCCATTGTTTGGCATTAAGAAGATCTTTTCTTAGGAACCAATTTACGAGTTCGGCAAGGCCCACAATAATGCTTCAGGCTGGTGAAGAACTCGAACCAGGGTCCTCAGAGCAATAAGCTGCCACCTTAACCGCTCGGCCATCCGACCGTCTAGAATTAATACATCACTTAGCTTGAAATTTATTACGTTATTAAATTGTAAGAAAATATATAAAAGCTTTACAGACAACCAATAAAATCAATTTTTACATATTTAAAAAAAATGTATATTTTTCAAGAACTTAAACAAAAAAAAAAAACCGATATCGATGTTAATTTATATTTAAAATAAAACATAATTAATAATATAAAAATAATAATAATATTTACGTAATTAAAAAAAAGAAATAATTAAATTAAAAATTAATATTTTCCCGAAATAATTCTCATATTAAAAAAAATAAATAAAAATAATAAAATACGAAATATTGTTTTTATCCGCATGGGGGCGTATTATCTTTTTGTTCATCTGCGAAAAATCCTTCAATATGAGAAAGGGCGAGATGTTGCCGACGAATTTAAATAACGTTCTTTAACGTATTTTTTTACATTTAATTAATTTAAATATTGAGTTTTTGTTCGTTTTGATGTTGTTTAATCAAAAATGGGGATCCTATTATCACGTTTAAGGGTAATGTTGATAAATTTCCTTATTTATACTTCATCTATGTTAAGTTTGTATATTTAACATAATTAAACCTTGTTTTATTAATTATTGATGATATTTTATGCTTTATTTTGTTCTTAAGGTGTTTTGAGCGGTTTAAGTTGATAATTAATGGAGATTTTACAAGTGATGAGAGCAATTGAAACTGGTAATTGGTATATATACACACACACACACACACTCTTATACACATACACACTGATATACACACATTAATACACAAACATGGACTTGCAGGCTCGATTCGAGCTTCGAATGAGACGGTCGGGGTCTTAATCTAGCCGTAGAGCACGTTCACAGGAGCCAAAAAGTCAAAGGAACCGTATCTCTATGTGCGACCCTATTCTGGGTCTTAATCTAGCCGTAGAGCACATCTGCGGGAGCCAAAAAGTCAAAGGAACCGTATCTCTACGTGCAACCCTTTTCTGGGTACTGCCCCCAGAATCGGTGCCATTTTCAGTCATGCCACATGTTCCGCTAATACTGTCGCGTTTAACTATTTTGATTGGCTTTGAGTAGCCCACTTGATGTTATATAGCTTTGGGAGATGCGAAAGATTGCCCGTGTGAGTGCCGAGGTGCAAGCAATAGCGAGGGCCAAAGCGTGCAACTACGCGCCTCGACCAACGTGGAGAATGCGCAGTGGCGAAAACTGACCTTCGGAGGCAAATATCTCGTGAAGGGTTGCGTGTATGAGTAAGGTTTCTTTGACTTTTTTGCTCGTACGAGGGTAGTCTGTGATTCTGGGGTGGGTGGAAAACCGTCGTTCGGAGTTTGTCTTTACTGAATGATGAGTGAACGAAAGTTTAATTGAGGGTTTTGAGCTAATTTCACTCCATAAATGTATCCTTTTTGGAATATTATTAGTTTTCGAGGCATGAAAGTTAACTTGTAACTCGATATTGTATAGTTGTAGCTCATTAATGGGAAAATATTGCAGAATATACATTCAGATGTGTGTTTTAGGCAAGTTGTTGTACACTATTTAAACTCAGTTTAGTGTTTATTTGAGTATCAAGAACCTTGTTTAGCTGTTTTTTAACTTAGTTAGTTTACATATGTATTTTATTGTTTATATTATTTGTTAATCCACAAATTGATGAGCATTGAGAGTAAATAACACTTAAAATTGAAGTTTTAGATCTGTAAGTCTAATGACCTTTAGAAAGACTCATGATCGGCGTATTTTTATGTATTTAAATGTAATTAGTAATTCTGATGGATTGCTTATAATGTCGGGCATCTGCGTGCATGCTAAATTGTGATGTGGATTTAGTCGATTTGTCTTCTAAACAAAAAAACATAATGCATATATTAGAAATATGTTCATATTTATCTTGTACTTAATATAGATTGTTTGTTACACTATATAAAGCTTGCAAAGTTTTAGTAAATGCTTTTTACAGGATCCACGTATCGTTAGTGTATTTAATTGGGTTCAAACAACACAGCTGTATTAATAAATACATCTGCAGAAGAATCAGTTAAAAGTTTTATGGCATATTTTGATAGTTTTACGCACTTACGACGTAAGAAATTTGGGTCATGATTCATTTTCCGTATAGAAAGTAGATAGATTTTGAACAAATATGTCAATTTTAAAATTTATTTTATAAAATCTGATGATTTAATGCTTGAATTTAAAAATTTATAATTATTTTTAAATGTTGTAAGGAATAAATTGGTAAATCTTCTTTTAGAAGATATATATATATGTATATATTAATATATAATGTCACTCCCAAAATATACAGAACTGTAGGAGTCTCATTGATCTCCACATTTCTGTTTATTCTTTTATAGGGAAAGCATGATGTCGAGTAAGGTGGAGTGAATTTGAGTCGTTTTGACGGTCTCACAGTTGGCGCGAAGCGGCCATAGTTTAATAAGCCGTATCTGGACCGCTGTCAAATTCGTTCTTTCTTATTCAATGCCGTGCATTATCATTAAACAAATAAACAAAGATTAACACAATTCCTATTGTTCCAGACTTACATTATACCCTGTATATATAGAATTTTCTGTTTATACAACTATTTTTTGAAGTTTAAATTACCTATATGCTTAAGAATATATTATATAATGACCACAGAGATTGCAAGTAATGTTTTCTCACTGATGGTTACAGAATATCTAAATTAATTTGATAGCCGATGGATCCACATGATTTTTTTTAACGTTCACACTTAATAATATGACTGTTAATTTCGGGCCATTGCTTTAATTCTTATCGATTGTTGGCAAGTCGGAAGCACCACACCAAATCTACACAATCTGTTGGCTATCTCTGTACATTGTACAGTTAAAATTGTTTATTACTAAGTTTATGGAAGGGTATAGTTTATAATGGCTCGTGTTACTTGTCAAAGTATCATTGTTTGAACTGCTTTTTTTGTTTAATTTTAAAAAAAATTGATACATTTAATGTATTATTATGTAACTTGACAGTTATTTAAATAGTTCAAGTTACATTTAACACTTTATATGTAAAAATTGTAATTGCTACAAGGAAAAAATTGGCTCGTCTCTTTGTCGAACGTTTGAGGAAAACGTGCGAGCCTGTTCAATTTCAAGGATTTAATAATAATAATTAATGTCGTTAGTTATGTGTTTTGTATTTGAACATATTTCTGCTTTTTTCTATTTGTTGCGCTGTCTGGTTTTTCTGGAAATGAAATGCAAATGAGTTTGCTTTTGTATTTTTTTATTTTTTTTATCATTTAGTTGAGTTCAGATAGCTTAAAGCATTATCTTTTGTTGTTTTTGTTTATTTCAATTACAAATATTGCGATTTTCTTAAAGAAAATCTTCAGAAATTTTATATAAATACTACAATGAAGATGTAAATAGATTATGAGAATGATATGAGCGCAGGGATTAGTTCTGCTGTATTTGCTACAATGGCGACTATTACCGTGGATTAATCGTTTGTACAAATAAGATTTAGAAATGAACACCTGTTAAAGGGTGTTTAAAAGGAAGAGAACTATTACTGGATTGTTAATATTCTGTATTTTAGGTACAGGTGTTGTTGACATTACTAAATGTGCTTGCATTTGCAGGATTTCTTAATAATAGATACAATAAAAATAAAACATGTAATTGTATCAATATTATTTTATTTAACACAGCAAAAACTGCGGCCTAATATTCAAATATTATAATTAACTGCGAGTTACACTGTCGAGAGTTTGATGTAATCAGTTACCGACCAATAGGAACAATCGGTAATTACTTTTTTTATATATATAATATCAAAATTAAGCTATCAAATGATTAAATTTGCAAAAGATATTCTACAAATTGAGTAATTTTTAGATTAACATTGATTTAAATCTTGCTAAACTTCAATTAATTACTCAAAACGGACTCGATGAACACACACATCTGTGTGTAAATAATCTCGGGTCATTTTACAAAGATACGAGGAAGGTTTAAGGCGGTTGTAACACTTATTTCTGTTTATGCGAGGGTGAAAATGGAATAAAATGTCTGTTTAGTTTGTACAACAAACAGAATGGATTCAAAGTTTCGTAATTTTTCAGTAAATTTTAATTTTTAGACTTATTCAAGCTTCTGTTATTGGGTATGATTTAATGAGTTGCAGATTTCACCGATTAATTTATTATTTATGCTTTTAATTTAGATTATTGAATAATGCCTTATCGCAAACCGAACTTGATAATGGAGAGATAAGACAAGATGCTGAATAACAGTTAATTTTACGGCTTAGAGAATTCCGTTAGCAGTTTTTGAAATAATAGATTAAATTTTGAGTGTGTTTAAACATAATTTATATATAAAATACATTTGATTTTACAGTTTTTAATACAGTTTTGAAGTAAAGCGCGTACAAAGCGGTTTCTCTCTGGTTATGAAGTAAATATATAAAAATTAATTTATGCGAAAGTTTTATCGGATTTTATAGTTTCGTAAGTCCAAAAATGTTTTGTTTTTTTTTGTGCGAGAAAGAATAGTTTAAGCGGTTGCCGAGCAACAACTTATATTATTCAAAATTCTTGGTTTCCCATGATGTTAATAGGGAGGTGCAGGTGATCGGTAATTGAGGATGATGAGAGGTTTGTGAATATGTGAATGAGAATGCTAGAAGTAGAGGCAAGACTGAATGAGGATGTTATAAGTTTTCGCATAGGATTCTGATGATGAGAGTGTAGCGTTCTCGGCATTAAATTTATATAGGGATGAGGCTGAGTGAAGTTGGGTGAGACTGTACATGCAGAGATAAATGACTGTGACAGTTGTGTTATAATATCTTTATTCTTGCATTTATAATTGCAGAGATGAGGATGCTACAAGTGATGTGAGATGAAGATACTGTAAATGCAACACTTGCAATTCTTAATTTCTCTTAAATTTACAAAATAAAGTGCAGGAAATTTCATTTAAGTTATTTTTAAAATGTTTATATTTACGCATTTTTATATTTAGACAATTACATTTTTATTTTTTGTGTTACTCATTCCTTGATAGGGAGAAGCTGCCACTTGGCAAATTATCAATGCAGGAAGTGTAATTTTAAATTTAAAATACTCCAACTACACTGAGCTTTTACATTAATTCCTCATCGAAATTCAAACAGTTTATGCTTTTAGACTCATAGTTTTTTTATGTATTTTTTATGTAAATTGAAAATTTATAAAATTTTTCACCAAAAAAATAAATTTGCGTAAATCAGTGCGAGAAAGGAATGGAAATTGCAACAATTTTGCCGCAAAATTTCTCGATAACCGTATCCGTATTGTGCCGTAACGTTATTTAATTATCGCCGTGCTTATATTTAGACGTCCCAAAAAGTTCAGTGTTAAATACCGTCGTTGGCTGGCTGCCCACCGACTCAAATATAGATTCGTTCTGCCGTTCTCTACGGTATTTTGGAAGTTGTCTTTATGCCGATGTTTTTCTAGGAAATGCGGTAATTTAACTGCATTAAAAATTAAGTACCCCGTGCTTAAATTTTCTTAGATTTAAACCAAAGCAGCTTGCTAAAAACACTGAGAATTTGATGAAAAATATTAAAATAAACTTTTCTGTTCTTGTTTAACGTTGCAATTTGAAGTCTTCTCTGGGTTAATCGATAATTATCTGTCCCAAAAGAAGTCTTATGAATGTAGCGAACTGCATATACGTGTAGACATATAAGGCTACCGATTTAAAAGTTAAGAATTTAGAAAAACTGTAGAAATTTGTTGGAAAATATCAAAGTAAAGACCCATTTTTTCATTTAATTCTGTCATTTGATGTTTTCTTGGGTTAAATTTATGTTTATCTGTCTGAAAAGAAACTTTAAACGTGTGGAGAAGTATAAGATAATACACTTAGATGCGGATGTGTAAGACTGTTGACTGAAATTTTATACGGGATAGCATTACAGATATGTAATGTAGAGTATTGCAAGGTTAATTAATGCTTAAGGTAGCTTTACTTGTTTTTTCACTCCGCTTGGTATACCGGAAATTAGGTCAGTGTGTACGACTGTGAATGGCAACGACTGCAAGGACAAGAGCAGGTTTTGAACTTGAATATTCGATATTAATAGAAGCACCGATCAACTCCCCTCTAATAAATGTCTCCCTCGCCCTTTATTAACATTTTACCATCTCGAAAATTCATTTGTGCAGATGCTGTTCACACTTACCATAGCTTGAATATGTAACTAATATGTTTACATTCGGCATTCATTCATCTGTATCCATACGAGACAAAAATAAAAGGGTCAATGCTCGGAAAATAGGATACTTAACGGAACTTTTTATGAAATTTTTTTATACGTCTATTTCATAAATTAATATCAGGTGTTTTTCTTGCCAACGCGATAAGTTTTATGCACGTTTTTGCATCAATAAAGATGCGGTTTAAATGTAATTAAAATGTGTATTAACTTAATTCTGTTTGTTTTATAGGGGAAACCTTCGGCCAAAGCTGTGTTGGAAGAGTTGCACAAGGTATGTAAGCCGGATGCAAAATCTTGTAAATATTTTAAAATAAACTGTAAATATGATTTAGTTTGTTACATAAAAGAATGCGTTATTTACTAATGTATAGGTTTTCCTGTTTTGACGAATCACTTCCTCTCTGCCTTATGATTAAATTCCAATGCATCGTCTCAAATTTTTTTACTATTTTAATCGCATTTTCCTCCGACGATGTGTCGCATTTAATTTTAATTTAAATATTTTGAATGAAAATTAAGTTTAATTTTATTAATGTATGTAATTTATGTGTATATAAGCTAGTATGTATAGTAATTTCGGTTAAGATAAAGTGACCAAAATTACTTTGTCTACACATTAATTGAAGCTTAAGGGTGACAAAATACTGTTTTTATGCTCAGATCGAGTGCTCATTAAACAGAATTTAAGGAGAAACAGACAAGAAACACTCCAAAAATTTAATTCTTGATCTCTAATTTAACTTTTCAGAGCAAAACAACATTTCAATTGTGTACGTAATGATTTTTATTTTCTCATTTTTTCATTTTAATCAGCTGCGGATGGACATTTTGAAGCATTTAATGACAATTTTTTATCCGCACCCCGCTCGAGGAATCGTTAGAACAACAAAAAGCATACGTTTCTCTTACAAAATATTCAAAAAAATCATGTTATATGAAAGTTTTTATCCGTATCTTATCTGAATTAATAATACAATAAATTGTAAAATAACATTGTTAATGTTATAGTGATAGGTAAGACATATTAATATCGGGTGACAATGCTATCAATTACTAAAACAAAGAGAGATTTAAGTGCGGAAATTGCTGCAGAATTAATTGTATTATAGTAATTCAACGAAAGGAGATTAGTCACTTAGTTTCTTGGAACAAATCCACAATTAAATTAATAGCATAAAGGATTACTTCTCTATTGGAAACTGGAAGATAATTATAATAACTATACACTTGTATCACATTTACATTCCGGCAAGAAACCTCGATTTTAGAAGAAACTAACGTTTTCAGTTGTTTTAAATGGCATTCTCGGGTTTACAAAGCATTTGAATTTCGGAACGACGTTGATTTTAGAACATAGATTAAATTTTACAGAATAAAATCTGATTGGATTGCATGTAGATTACATTAAATAGGCACCATACAATGCATGCATGGTTGGTAAGGTGTTTATTCTGCTAAATCTCTGCCAAAATGCTTTAGAAAAACGTCTGTATTACTCAGTATGGCAAAAGTTGCCAGGATGTAATGGGTTGTATTTTCCTTACATTGGCAGCACATTCCTTGAGTCTTGTGTGTGGGGATCTCGTATGCGGTTGCTTTGATATGTTTTCATTCTTTGTTGAATCTATCACCTGCGATGAAGACAGTGTAGATCTTCTGCTTCTTATCTGGAGGGTCTTTCACATTCTCGAGACAGGTATATATATAGTGGGATTCCTGGCAAAATCTAGTTTTCATTGTTGGCTGTGGAGGAGTTTTTAAAGATTTTTATTATTGGTGGTTATATTTAACTATTTTGATGTTCATACCATTATTGGTGGTTATATTTAACTATTTTGATGTTCATACCATTATTCAGTAGTTTTGTAGAGGTGGTTGGTGTCCAGGTTTTTTTTTATTGTTGAGGTGAGATTCCATGTTGGTGGGAAGTATGTTATGTAATGGAGCTCCTTTGTTCTATCAATGTTAGAACAGTGATTGTAAGTCCTTCTGACCAATGCTGCGAATGCCACTGTCTCAAATGTGTAGGAATTCTTTCTAAGAGCCTCAGAATTCCTGTGTGTTTTGAGATATGTAATTCAATATAGGGTATGTAGTTTTCAATACACATTGGTGTAAATCCATTCATTATGTAATGTTAATAAAACATCCAAGAAGTGGGCTGTTTGCAAGCCATTTTGTTCTGATAGGAGAAGGAAGAGGGGAGGCTGTATAGGTTGTTGTTATGTAGGAATTCTTGGAGGTGTGTTATCGTTAGCATACTTAGTATAGAGCAGTGTTTCTCAATGGGGGCAATATCACACCCATGTGGGCGTTTTTCCATGTTGAGGGAGCGATTTGTAACAATTTATATTTTGGGGAGCAAAAAACAATTTTCTCGGTGATATAGTAAAACATTATATTAAGATTAATTAAATATTTTATTCATTATATTGTACAATAATTAAACAAATAACATTATACTAGTCACTAGTCTATTCAATGAAGTACGAATTTGGCATTAGCCCTGGCCCACAGCATCGGAATTTTGAAGTGAAGGGGGCGATACTATGTAATGGTTTTATTGAAGGGGTGATGATTTGTTAGAGGTTGAGAAACACTGGTATAGAGGATAATTTGTTGGTAATTAGCTGATAGGAGTTAGTTTTTTAGTGTGCAGATGTCAAGTTTACAGAGAATGCCAGACACATTCTAAAATTTTAATGTTATTCAGAAATTTGAATGCTTTGAAAACCCAAAGATGACCATTTAAAATGGCTAAAAACATTAGTTATTTATTAATTTGTTATGATTACCTGCGACAACCTATCTTAATTACTCTTGGTTGCAAGATAATTGCTGTACAGATATTGATAAGCTTCTGCTTTTAAACTTTAGATCTTATAAAGTTTAAAAAAAACAAGAGAGTTTAATATTTATCTTGTATACTAGTACTTTATCAATTAACAAGACTTATTATACTGGATTTATGGATGCAGAAATTTAGTCTTATAGATCAGACGTATTTTTTATTTAGTTCACCTGTACGCATACACTTTAAACTTGTGTTTCTGACTTGTTTGTCCTTCATCAGCAGGCATTCAAAAGACACTTTCTATAATTAACAAATTAAATTTACAATTATAAAATTAAAATAAACACGAAAATTTTCTGGAAAATAAAATACAGTGGTACCTCAGGATATGAAATTAATCCATTCTGAAACTGAGATCGTATCATGAAAATGTCGTAAGGTGAATCAATTTTCCCCATACGATTACATGTAAAACCAAATAATTCGTTCCAACACAAAAAACACACTCAAATTAAAGCTAAGAAGTACATTAAAAATAATAATAACTATAGTAAGGAAAACACTTAAAAATGCATTTTGTAGTTGTAAATGTATAAATAACCATAATAGAATAATAATTGATTAAAAAAATGTGGTTTTATTTGCACTTTACACCTCCACCGTCGTCTATCCTCAAAGGTAAACTGGTGGAGAAAGAGAGGGAGAAGGGAAATGATACTAAAACTTAACTTACATAACATAATGTAACAATAACTTAAAAATAACTTAGAAAAGATAAAAAGTTAGTGTTGTTTTATTTATATTTTTTAAAATTTTTATTCACTGCTTTTTGCTTTCTTTCCTTCACTTCCACCAGCACTTTCACTGGATAGAGGTCGCTCGGTAAAATATCTATCCAAAGAGGTCTGGCTTTGCCTACTTTTTAAAATGTTTCTAAAATGACTTAGGCAAATGTCATTACTCTGAGCAGCAATACAGCCAGTGTGAACCTTTTCGGGATGTTTCTTTTCAGTAAAATCAGTCACTTTCTGATAATACCTCGAGATTTCCTTTATCGAACGAGATCCTTCCACGACGAAGCAAACACGCAGATTGAGACCAATGAACAGAAATGAATAAAAAAATGGCGCTGCGAACTCATGTAACGTCATATGGTGATTTTTTGTTTGTATCGTGGAGCAAAAAGATGTTCGAATTTCATGTTGTATCCTGAAAATTTCGTATGATGGGGCGATAGTATCCTGAGGTACCACTGTAATAAAATTCTTACGAATTCAATATTTTCAAACTCCTTCACAATTCTAAGTATATTCGTAATCCATATTAACTGTATAATTTCATACGTATACCTACATCATAATTAATCAGATTACATTTATAAATTTATTTTGTTTAAAACTTACATTAACAAATTACATCTTTGATTGTTCTCTTTCACTTATTCTATATTCCAATTCATTCCGATCTCTACTTTTATATATCTCCCTCCCTCCCCCTTCTATAATACTTCTCCATGATTGCTGGATCTCCCTTCCCGTATTATTATTTATTCTATCCGTTTGTTTAATTATATTGATCTGTTCGTATAATTGTCTTTTATAATTATTTTCTTCTTTTTTTTCTTATTTTCACTGTATTTAAGTCAATTTCGCAACCTTCAAGTCCTTTTAATTGATAAAGTACTATACAAGATAAATATTAAATTAAGATATGGGACACAAAGGCATAATAATTAAAAAACAAAAGCGATTTGATTTGTGCATCCTGATAAATAGTTATGGTAGATCCTCATTTAGCTGAGCTAATGTGGATTGGTGCTACCTTGGATAAATGTAAACGTGGATAAAACAGGTGGCTGTAGCCATTTCAAATTTAAAAAATACTTTAACATACTTCCTTTTCATTGCGATGTTTAAGGTGAAGACTCATAAAGAATTATTAAAGATGTAGCAACACACCGACAGTAGGCAAATAGACATGTGCAGTTTGTGAAGGACGAGTGACTCGCGTCTATGTTCCAACAGTTGGTTTCTCAATTGCTTGCTTGGTATGGTCGAGGTTAAAAGTACTATGGTATTTATGCACTCGTCGCATTTGTGGCAAAGTTTTTATGAGTTACGAGAAAAGTAGTGTATGACTCAGTTTCCCTTGCATTAATGCAGAGCCTCAGTTAACCATGACTTGGATTATTGGGGTTATTCTGTATTCTACTGGCCAGTTATTGAATGTATTTCGATAAACACATTTTGGGTGCATATACATTTGGAATCAAACTGATCCAAGATTACTCTGATTGTTCAAATTCTGTATACAAACGAACTATAGCAATCCAATCAACATCTATCTGCGTATACAAATGCCATCTAGGATCGACTGAATCACAATTAAACTAATCCGAGCAGAGGGTAGGATCGTTTGGATCGGATAAGAAAGTTTAAAGACAGTGGCCTCCATGTTTAACTGTCGATAATGAAAAGTGTTTAAAACTTAATAAATGGTAAGTAAAGACATTATTAAATTATCTGATAAACTGAGATAATATTTTTCACCAACTAACACGCACAATAGAAGCGATGTGTATCACGTGACAAAGACTGATGAAACGAAAAGTATATGCACTCTTTGTGTATTTTGTTACGTATATCTAATGTCTATATTTTGTGCAGTAATTCTTCTTTTATTTTTCTCGCAGGAGATCGAAGAGCTCGAAGACTATAACAGGAGTACCGAACAGCAGCAGAAGCACCTCGTGGGCTCTCTGATTCTCTACTCTGTTATTCTGTATTTAGGTTTTGCCACCATCTTCTATCTTTACTATTTTCCGAACAATTTACGTGATCAACTGATATACTCCATTCCTTTATTAATATTTCCAGCAATGTGAGTATTTTTTGGTTTCGTTCCTTTTACACACTTTCACTATAAATTGTAACATAAAATTGCACATTGAGTATCGCGAAAACCAAAAAACAAACAAGTATTCAGAGTTATATGACTTAGAACCGAATTTTTCTTATTTAACGTAACTTTATGCTTTGTTTAACATAAAATTTACAACAGATTTATTCAAATGATAGTTATAATTATGATGTGTGCTGTACAGTTTAATATTTAACATTAACGAATGAAATTGCAATTTAATTTATGCATCTACACTCACGTTTTGATCCACGTTGGACTGATTTTTGATCTTGATAATCTATGCAAACTTTTACTCTGTCTTTAATGAACAAATGACGATATTTTACGGCACAAATCACACATTTTGATGATTCGTGTGAATTATCTAGTTTTATTGTTCCTACAGTGACACTTTTTCTACTGTATTCTAGGTATATATTCTCTTTTTAAAATTGTTTTTTTCTGTTTAATTAGTTGTCAAGCATGTTTTAAAATTGTAAGAGATGTTAATAGGACTTCTGAAATGTTGTATGACATTTTAATTAAGGTAGCGTACAAAGAAGTCTCGCTAAAGTAGGAAATTTTACTTTATTTATGGTGAATGTATGAGTCAATACATAGAACGTTATTTGATACATTGAAGCCATAGATTAAACAGAATAAAGACAATGAAAAGTAATTTTTGCAAATGATTTGACGTTATTAAAACTGTAACTGACAGCTGCCTTTACTGCAGATGGCTTGAAACTTTCGTTTTATTGGCAAACCATGTGAGTGAGAATTTTGCAAAATACAATTTAGTAACGTTAAAGTATTATGCAATAGATTCCGTTTGGTTTGAGGTATAGTTTGGATTAGGCATGTGTAGTGTGTTAGAGAGGAACCAAAATTGGGCTTAGTTAATTCTTGTGTCTGAAGGAATTAATTTCTGTATAGGTATTTTATCAATCTCAGTGTATCAATGGGAATCGAATGCAGAATTTGTTTCTCACCAGACCAGAAGCTCTGTCAATTGGAATGATCAGAAGTTCAAACTGATAAAAACATGTCTTAGGCTGACAGTGTCAGAGGAAAGGCCATCTAGTCTTGCAACAATATCAGTAGAGTGTGACTTAATATCCAAGACTGATATGGAAGAATTAGTTAGAAAATATATGCAGGTTGTGTTATATGAATGGCTAGAAGCATCATTGATTTTAATGCCAGATTGGCCTGTTAATAAATCAGTTTCATCAGTTAAAAACTTTTTAGTATATTTGAGCCATTAATGTTTATTGAAATGTGTATGATGTGAAAGTCTCGGACAAAAGTGCAAGTAGGTCACCTCGTCATCCTTTATGTTAAATTGGCAACTTAGAAGGAACTTATACTGACGATTATCTGAGTTACTTACCTTTATCGCTCTAGTTTCAAGTTTCTTTTGAAAGGTAAAGGATGTCTTCAGTAATAACAAAATAAACGTGGCAGGTATGACATGGTAATTACAGCAATTACTGTAATTACTGCTTAGCTTTGAAGAATTTGTTCTGCACAAACTAGTTTTAACTTTTACAATAATTCATTCTTAATTTAAGTAATAGAATTAATATTAATAATAATATTTTCTCAAACATTGAGTTATGCCAGATAGGTGTGTCAGTAGTTTAAGACGGTAAACATTAGCCTACCAGTAGCTTAACATTTGTGCATAAGATACAAGTAAAAAATATGGTAGGTCATGCATTTCTTAATTCTTTATTACTAAAATTCTTTTTTATACTATTTATGTAACTATTAAAATATTAGTTTTTACTGTCAATTAGTTCAATCTTACATATTTCATATTTAAATTGAGAGATTGAAATCTTTTTGTTGCATCAAAACTATTCTTTTACACGATTTGTAAACATAAGATACCAATAAGATTTGAAGAACCACTGGTTTTATTGTCATAAAGCATTTTACCAGACAATGCATACATCATTGTTGGATCAAAAAGAACTTGGAACAGTAAACAGATCTGTTCTTTGTGTATTTTTTATCTTACGACGAGAGGCGTATCGTCTCAAAAGTATTTTATTGCTATAAAACCAACTCCTCAAATTTTATTAGTGTATTTTTAAAAGTGCCAAACCTGACAACACTAGTTACTTGTTAGTTCTGATAGTCTATGTTACTGTTTCTTACTGCAGTTTCAGGTTTTTATATCACGTACCTTGAGATAATGCTCGATTTTGATTGATTAAAATGATTACTCTGAGTTTGATTAATTGTCCCATTGCTATTTACAAATCTTTTAACCATATTTCTTCACTTAGACTATCTTACATACATTCTTCTGAAGAATAATGTAAATTCTGCTCATGATTTACTGTAAATTATTATTTTATTTTAAAAGAACCATAAGTATTTATTAATAATTGTATTTGAATGTATTAATGTGAATTCATATTGTATTTCGACCAATCCAAGTTATGGAATGTTGCCGCATTTTTTCATAGCATTCCTACAGAAGACTACTTATAGCCACACCTGTGTGAAAATGTAACAAGGATTGCTCCTGATAGCATCTACATTTATTTACGTTGGGGATTTTATTATCTAAAATTAATTTCAGTCAAAAACTGTCTAATTTGGTGGATATCTTGATGCTTAGTGAATGGAAAGTTTCTCTCTGAATTGGAGAATCATGCAAAATTGACCGGAAGTTGTATAGTAAATGATGACACACAATAAAGAATTATATCAAATTTTGAGAGTCCAAAGCAGAACTCGAGCCCGTAACTTTTGGCTAATTGCTCGACGAGTAAATCACTGGTTACAATGTTAAGAGTTTACACCATTCCAAACATTTGTAAATGGTAGATTAGTATGCAGCAATTGTTTCACATAGAAATCACTTCATGATGGATAGTTTATGCTTCATAGACCTGGATGTACAATCCAAATAGAAGAAACTATTGTTAATATAATTTTTACGTTGCAGTCAAATCAAGAAACAAATGTCAGGACATGCGGCAATGTATAATCATCATACAACAGTTGTCACGCTGATTGGATTATCCTGTATTCTCATTGGCAAAATTATAAACCTTTCTTTATAAATCTTTTGTATTAACAATTGGTTCATTTGAATGAAAAATAATGGATTATTCAGTGTCTCAAATGATTTACTTCTTCTTTTCCTTGCTGTTTAACCTCAAAATGAAGGAAAAAAAATTGCTTAAAGATGCAAAAATTTGACGTTTAAAATTTTGCATTAAAAATTGACTGATTATTTGGCAAGCATGGGTTCACAATTGATCCACGTTTTTTGGATGCTGGCTAAATATATATTTAAAATATATTACACCGAGTGCCCGCAATGCACCAGAACTGTCATCTTGTGATGTATACACCATAGAAACCAAAACAAAGCAGTCTTGCAACAAACTATGGCCATAACATAGCCAATCAAATCCAAAAATAGCAAATATTCTGGATACACAGTGTTAGCAAGAAATAAATTTCTCATTTCAGAAAGCTCTGGAGTGCATTCTACTGCTTGAAATGAGACGAAATTTGGACTACAGATAATTCAAATGATGCACTTGACATTTCTTAAATAAAAATAGTACAAAAATCCATAGATAGGTGGCGCTGGAGTACACATAAATATTGAATATGTGTGCACATATAAATATTGAATATGTAGCACATTGTATTTTGTGCAGTTCATGTTCTATGCCTCCTCTCTTTAGTATTTACAATACATTAGTTTCATCACTAGTTCTACCATCTTCAAACCATCTTACATTTGCTTTGTATATACTCTTGCCGATTCCGTCTATGCTAGGTTGGAGATTAAAAATCTTTCTATTGTTCTGTTGCACATAAAAATTTATTAATGCTGTTCAGAATAGTGAGATGCTTACAGATACTCAGTGTTAATACACATGCAGCCAGAGTGTATAATATGCTATTACACCCTTATAACACATTAAATTTGCTTGAGTTACTAATGTTAGATATTCAGTTGAGACAATAAAGAATAACATTTTGTTTATTTTACGCATGCATGTTTTCAGAACACTCCTACTTTGTTTTTAAGCGAACCAACTGTCAAACAAAGTCTGAAAATTAAAATTTACTGAACCCATTCTTCAATTTTCGATGTTTAAACTCTATTTGAAAGTTGGCAGCATTCAAAGGCCAAGTCGGAATGTATTGAAAACATCTGCACATAAACAAAATGGACCTCCACTCGACTTAAAATTGCTCAAGATAGAATCGAAACACTCAACTCTTGTACGCTAAAGTACGTTGCCGTTTATATTAATCGGGCATTTTGCACAAACCTTCCTACTGTAGAGTGAGGTCAAAGTGTCATAACCTTAATAATTCATTAGCGTCAGACTAAACTTTTGTGGATAAATGTCAGTATTTCGGGTGCGTACTCTGGAATCTCGTATTTAACATAATTTCTTTGTTTATATTGTCTTTCTTATTAAATATTTAAAACCATGCCGATCATTTCAGAATATGGCTCCTGAAACAACTACTTTATCAATATTTTGTGAATAAGTTGAGAAAGAATGAAGAACATTTGGAACGGCTAAAGAAGAAACGTCGGACGGTCTTAGATCTAGCCATGGAAACCGAGACTTACAAGGTGGCAAAGGATCTGCTAGAGAAATATGATCCGGAATTTCAAAAGAAAGCCGTGAGTGTTCTTTTTTTCTTATAATTTCTTCTAAAGTATGACGAATACAAATGACACAATGTTGGAATTAATTTAGTATGTTACACTGAACACTTTATTGAAATTGGAGTGTGGCAATACACTTAAGATAAAACATTAGTTATGTTTATTAGTTAAGTATAGTTATAAACATTAGTTGGTGTTTATTCAATGATATTCTTTGTTATTTTATATCAGGGCTGTGGAGTTGGAGTCGTAAAAAATCCGCTGACTCCGACTCCTTTTTATTTACCAACTTGTTATGTATATAAAATGGAAAAGTATTGGAATCGTGTCAAATTTGACCCTCCAAGATTTTTTTTTTTTTTGCAAATCTACAAGTTTGGAGACCTCCCGAACCCCTCAAAAAAGTCAATGAAGGGGAAAAATTTGTGCGCGCGCGTGTGTGTTGGCATCTAATTTGTTTAATTTCTTTATTTTCTGTTCTGAGATATTAAACAATATCTCAGAACGGGTAAAGTTTAAGAAACGAAATGTGGCACTGTAGCTCGCGTATAAAGGGGCATTAATACTATTAAATTTTGGTTCTTAATTAAAGGTCGACAGGGTGAAGACATAAAAGTGGTCATGTGTCATATCTCCTAATGAATATTTTACTCGTTATTAGCATTCAAAATTTAAAAAAATAAAATAAAACTCGTCTTTACCCTCAAAGTAAGCTTTTTTGCCATTTTATAATAGTACAGTAAAACCCGTTAAGATGTTCTCGCTTAAGATGTTAGAATGTATATGGGGACATGATTTAGTTCAACCACTTTGACTTAAATAACTAACTCCCGTGTTAAACCATCTGACTCCGATTCTGACCACTCCAACCACAGAAATTATTAGGCTTCAAACAAAATGAACGAAATCATGTCCGCCCACACACAGTCTAACATCCACACATATAGGAAAAAAACCTCGAATCTTTTGCATATCTCGAAATTTCAAGGTGTCCCGAGTCCAAAAATGTAAAAATTTGGGAGGGGTTATTTTTTGACCGAGCGCTACACTTTTCCTCTGTTATATATAGCCTAATAGCCGGAAAAGTAAAAATTATCGAATACATATTTATATATTACTTAGAGAAGTCTTCTAGCTTCGGAATAAAAAGTTTCTACGCTCTATCTTTATTACCACTCTATTTATTGAATATTTTATTATGAGGTCACATGATGACATCAGAATTTCCGGGTCTCTTTCGGTAACAAGTCTGCCCCTAGTTGGAGTTGGAGTTGGTAGATTTTTACGCGACTCCACAGCCCTGTTTTATATAAAAGACTTGTTAAGTCACAAAAATTTCTGATTTTGACATTTCAAAGTTTGGTTACGGAGGTTTACAGTTAAATTTTAGTTAAGAATTTGTTATAAGATTCGAAGATATGCCGAACTCGAGAGGAAATTATGTTTATAATAAAAACATCTTTTCCATTTTCTTTCTCAACTGTGGAAGAGTTTGTCAGTTGTTTTATTTTAATATCAAACTTTGGCAGATTATGTAAAACAAATCTGCCAAACTTGGCATAGTTTCTTGTAGTTTAATGAAGAAATATCTCAATTGTATGTCACACTTGGACTCTATGTTCTAAGTATATGATAATCTGTCAGCTTTTTATGTTTTGTTTCCTTGCATAATCCACATTTTTTACGATTGACAAAGACGATGCAAACTTCTATCAACGAGTCAATAGTCTGTCTCTCTTTCTTGATGTTTTATGCTTTATTTACTCACTCTATCCTCATTTCTTATTGTTAATCGAAGACTGCATTTTTTTCTTCTGGTCCAATGGTTTCTGCACATGTCAACTTAAGTTAGAAAATCAAAATTTTAATTTTCTTAAATAGTTAAAACTTCAAATTTAATGACAATTGCAATCTGCAGACAAAATTCAGTCATATCTTTTACTAAGATTAAAGGCGTACATAGATGCATTTATTGTCTAAAATTTTACTTCAGTACTTGTTCGTGAAGGTCTAATTGTCTACAGAGACTGGTATTAATTAATGTGGATTATAAATTTGACAATTGGATGAAAAGCAAATCTTTAAATCAGGCTAAAATTGCAGGACGTTTATAATTTTCATGTTTGTGGACATCTTATTCATTAGAGATTCAAGATTTCATCATCCAGGTTGTATTCCAAGGCTCGAATCTTATTCACATGTAGTGAACACTTTAACAAAAGTACAAATATTTGGAAATTTAAACTTTAAAATTGTCAAGTACTTGCAGCATGGAAGGTGTAACCTTACAGGTTGCTCTTTGTGCCGACCAGAGACGATTACATGCCTGCAGCTCTGTGGCACTTAGCCAACATAAGCTTTTATCCCAGCATAGTGTGTGTGTGTTTATATACATATGCGTACATATAATTACACACACAATTCAATTTAGAAGATATACCCATACAATTTACATGACAAATTGAGATCAGATGGAAGCACGGGTAGCATAACTCGCAAAGCACTTGCACATTTGAGTCTTCTCTGGGTCGAACCTTTCTTCCGTAAAATTTTAACTTAATGAATTTACCTTTTGATGGTTAAATTTAATACAAGATGGCACCTCGACTGCTTATTTGTAATTCAAATTAAGTAATATATTTATAGTTAGTCATATTATGCTCCAATTAAAACCGAGTGGTATCATTTGTTTATTACTAGATGCTGGTAGGTAATTACATTTTGGAGTAAAAACCTTACAGAGAACTTTGAAGAGTGCCATTTTCATTTTGCACTCTTTTGAGATATCTGCTTGCAGCCAAACAAATAAAACCACCAATAGCAGTGATGATGTCAGGTTTGTTCCCAGAAGGGCCAGTTAAACAGAACTTTTTGAAGTTTCTTTGTCCGTGTAACCTCTAAACACAGGCCGGTTTTACCATAGAAAGTCATCCTGAGAAATGCCTGCCTTTGGCAGATTGCCCTTGGATTCTATTGCCACATTCAAATGAATGAATCCACTCTTCTGGGTAAAGTGTATTCCATTGTAGATATATTTGTTTGTTATCGTAGTTCTTCAATGGCAATTAATTCTCTTCTTGTACTATTTTATAGTTTTTTTTAATGCAAGTTCTCATTATTATAGTGTTTCCACTCTTTGCTAGAGAATTATATAACATAATAAACACCTTCATTAAACACTCTAATTTTTATAAATCGGCAGTCATAAAGATTTAAGGATTAGAGTGTATGTTATTGTTTGTGCTTAATCAGTTTTATTTAAAGCATTGTAAAACCTTTGAATGTTTGAACAGAAAACGTATGCAAGTGTCAAGTATTGTCATACATTTCTTTGTACGATACACTGCAAGTTTCGTCAGTCGTGTTTCGACTCGAGTTTTTCAAGTTTTTACCTTTTTCTTTACCAGATTTTTCATGGAATTTAAGAGTTTTTCAAGTATGACGGCAAATTAAATTTTGTGTAGTTATACCTTAACGAAAGAGAAATTATTAAATTATTTACAGAACGTTAATAGTGTTGCTGTCTGTTGCTGTGATTTTAAAATTGTGGCATAAACTGTTTTGAGTTTTTAGATATTGTGCAAAGGGGTGCACGCACCACTTGTTCCTTATTTTCTTGTAAATTCTCTCAAAAAATAGCTCTTAATACTACATCGAATGTCATCTCTTGCTGTTTTCTAATGAGTATGCTGTGGACTATGCAATTACCGAAACATTTAAATCTTAATTACTTAATTCTCTGGATTATTTTGAGGATGAACGTGTTCTGCAAATAGTCCGGATTCGATACGGATTTAATTTGATGCAGTAAACTGCTTTATATTCTAAATTAGAAACTAAAGTTACTTCGAAGAAGTCGATCTTCCAACATGTAGATTGTCGTTTTCGAAGTGATTTTTGCTTCTGTCGTTGCATCCCTATGAATTTGAGTGATTTCTATAGGACAGTGGCTCCAAATTTCATTTTATGAACCTTTTAAAACAATAATTGGAACCATTTTTTTATCCAAAATTTAGCTGTTTAAACATGTAGATTGCATAGAAGTCTTTAAACGTGTTAATTTGAATACTATAGAACTGTTTCAATGCTTCAATTTAGAATTTTAATTTGGCATTCACACTCCTAAACATGTTTCCCATGATGATGTGTAATATTTTTACTGTGTAGTTTTGTAAGAATTTTTTCTTATCCTTGAATTATTAAAAAATAGCTGGGAAATATTCTGCTATTTAAACTCTGACTTGTCGGTTAATTCTGCTTGGTGCCATGCAAAGTTTATAAAACAAAAAACATGAAAATAATTTATAAATTTCACAAGAGAGAGAGAACATTTCAATGTAAAATATACAAAACTTGTTCATTGTTAAACAAAAAAATCAACATTTTACAGTTATAAAGTGCAGTGTGTGGCTCGTTGACACATCTAATTAGCATATTTAGTAGATCAATAAAGTCTACACTCGTACATTTAGTGATTCATACATTAAAGATCATGCTTCTTGGAATGGGAGTTTATTTTCGTCGATCCTACCGATTCGTTTAGCATTTTAAATACATAATTTTGCGAAATGTGCATTACGATTGCGTGTTTATGCACCCGCGATCTACTGTGAACCTCTACTGAAATAATTAAATAGTTTTCTCTTGACAAATTGACATATAAAGTAAGATTAAAACTTCATTTGGCTTGTTTTCGGGTTGAAAATTTGAATTTTTGATTTGCGTACTCAATTGTTTGGCTGTTGTAACTAAAGTTTGTTGGATTCCAGTAAGCAGAAACATTAAAAATACAAAATGTAAATGAATTTATTGTCATATTTAGTTAAAAACTACAGATTACGATTTGCAGAAATGATTGAAAATTCTAAGAAGTCTTCTGTTTTTTTTCTTGCAGGTTGTCGGAAAGTTTGGAGAACCGGTTCCTAAACGCTCTGCGCATGAAGGTGAGTATATAAATGGTACTATGTTATTAATCAAGACATTCTTCTCTCTCTTACTAAGAACTAAACTCAATTTTAAAAAAGTTAAGACACTTTCGACGACAATAAAAACAACCCTGCCGTCTCAATTATATTAGATACAACAGCCATTTAAAGGTATCTTTTTAATGATTTATTGGATGCTCACATAACGTGAGAAGATATTTGTTAAGTATTATCATTAGCTTGGTTTTTTGAAGTAAAAAAAAACAAGTTTTGTTCTAACGAGTGAGGAGTTACAATAATAATACACAATTAGATGCAAATCATGCAGCAACACAGTGTCTGTGTAGAGAATGTGTCTTCTGTAATAGAGATTTAATTTTGGTTGTATAAGTATACCTACGTCTGATTAATTTGATGCCTTTCTGTATACACACCAATAGAAAAAGAGAATTTTTGTATTGCTCTCAGAAAAAGTGAACAAACACTTAACATCCGTAGTTTTAGCTTATGCTATAGCTTATACATGTGAGACTAATCGGGGATAGGATGTTTACAAGTTCTTCACTCTCTTACCTCTTACTCGACTCAAGACCTTCGAGGTCTGGTCTCTCTTGTCCAAAGGATGGGTTCCGTTGAGCAAAAGGGTTATGGAGCTAAGGATCGTAGAATCCTTTCTCTCGTCAGGATCTGACACCAATATATCAATTTTTTAGCAGATAGATACGCGTTTAATTGAAGACAAATTATCACGAGTGATCCCGTCGAGGACTTGGTTCAGTATGGAGGTTATAATGTCGGAAGAAACGCACACCAATCCAAGCATTAACATTATACCCGTTTATTGTTGAACATTTTTACATAGATGATTAATTAAGGAATTGAGGTTACAGTTCCCTCTCGGGATTTTCAATCCATATAATTCGTAGGTTTCGGGTTTGATAGCGGACAAAATATAAATTAGTCGCGACCCTAACTGCATGTTGGAAGTATTTGAGAGAGAGCTTACATACCCTTGCGAGTAGAATAAATACCTCTAGTTATAACGTTGATGTCGGGTTGATCCGAGTTCTCGTTCTTCCCAAGTTCGTAATTCAGTTTGAAGTCAAAGTTCAAAGTCGTAATCAAAGTCTATTGAAGACGGTGGCGACGAGTGGCAGGAATCCACGGGCACACTCACAGTATAGAAAAATAACTTCTCCCCTGTGTCGTCATCGCATTTGCCTTTTATATGGGGGCTCTTTTTTTGAGATTTCCCCATGTACGTCACATCTTCTTTGACCAATAGTGGGCGAAGTGACAAAATTATGACACAACGGTTATCTCATCTTTTACAAGGAAGTACCCCTGTGGGATTTTTATGAGAAAGTTTTGTCGGTTGTTTTTCTTCTTTCGAGTTAACCCTAATTTTTTTTAAAAAATCGTTTTGGTTTTGTAACAAAATGGTAGATGAAAATGAATAAAAATATTTGAATCTTAAATCCGGGCTCTCACATACACTAAGCATTTTATGTACAGCTCATGCATTATATAGCTTTTATAGGCTGTCCGAAAAGTTACTGTGCATCGAGAAATTTGTAACAACATTAAAGTTGTATGTACAGCATTGCATACGTGATCTGTAACTCATACATCCCATATCCCACATTTCCACTTTTCGGTAGATGGCATTGCTGCTCGCTCATAGACATTCCAGTTTTTGGATGACTGCCATTACACGATCTTCCACAAAATCTGATCCACTAGGTCTTGTCACAGCATTTGTTTCAGTAGAAACTGGAATATTTCACATAAAATTTCAGTTTTATTAACAGTTTACTTAAATCTTTTCCACTGCACAGTAACTTTTTGGACACCTTATAATGTCTACATGCAAATTATGTGTGTATGATATACTGAGCAGTGCAAAACCTACATTTTTCTACTACCAGTACGCACTTAGAAATGGCAACATTACGAGGCAATGATTAATTTTTTTAATTAAATAAATCTATTTATTTCCACCAATTAATTATTTTACTTTATTTGAAATATGTAACAAGCGGAAGAAAGTGTTGTTATGGTGACAGAGTTTACAGATTTTAAGTGAAATATTTATTTTGGCACCTGTCCGAATCCGAACCCGAATAAAGCGGAACTTGCCAAACTGGAAATGTGATTCCAGTTTACTTGGGTTTAACTGTAATTGCCTTAAATGGAAATTAACTTGATAAACAAAGTAGTTAATTATCAAAATTTAATTGTATTTACACAATGGTATTAATCATTTTTACAATAGAAAACAAATGTGAAAGTATTTTAGTGTTGAAACCAAAGTTTACATTCTTGTTATTGAATTGTAAACTCTGCATAAAACAATATTAGAGGTGCTGGAGTCGTGTTTAACAGGCAAAACTTTTAACAAGAAATCTGACCTGCTCGGCAAGTGTGTGACATTTTGCATTGCCAAGCTTTTCTAATTTAGCAGCAAAATGTTAAGCCGCTGACAGTTTTAACGAGTTGAAACCGCATTGCCGCTTTTGCGTCGCAGTACAACTGTGTTTTAGTTGCACACTTTGATGTTTATTTATGATTTTGTTCAATCTTATGTATTGCTTTACTGTAAATATGAATCAATCTTAATGCAACAACAATTTTGATTACTTTCTATAGTAGTTTTTGAATTAACTGCTACAGTGTTTTACTTTCTTTTCTTAGTTACACTTTACAGTTGCTGAACAAAGAAGGGTGCGCAAACTTCATAGATGTGTGTGTTAGAGAAATTACTTTGCATTCTGACAGCTATGTTCTTTAATGTTCTTTTCGTCTACATAGACACAAATATGGTCCAGTGTGTGAGCATTTCTTCCAACTTAGAGTAGTTTAATATAGAATTTCTTTGATGATTTAGTTTTGTTGTTAAGTGGCAAATACCAGTAATTAATTAGTGGAGCATATTTTTTAGATATCGACAAAAGATAGAGAATTTACAAACATTTATTATAATCCAGTTTCTATTTGATTCTTTAGATGCGATAATGTTCCAAAAACAAAAGTAACATAACATTGACTCATAGATTGTTATAACACAGTGTGTGCAAGTGTAAGCTTAGAGAAAATGTAGAATTCCGAAGAAGTATTAAACAATTGCATTTGGAAATATTTGCTGTTCACACAAATTAAACATTTTATAATTGTCTGTTCCCCCAGTGTTGCATCTGTTTATTAATTGATCAAGTTACCTTTGTAGAACTGTGTATTATTCTTGTATGAAATCGTTCTGTCTCTTGTTTTCTTGTTATTTCGCAAGCATTCTGCCAAACTTACTTGAAAGATTTTTTTCTTCTTTAGATGTACATATTTGTGAAGCTCTTGCTTCTTTCTATCCTCACCACTAATGTAGACTTACCTATCACTGCAGAGATTCTGTAACTTCTAGCAACTGATTGACACCTTCATCAACTCCTTAGTCAAATGATCTATCCTGTCAAGGTGTTGCCAAATGTCTTCTCCATTCTTCCTTATTGTTTCGAACCTCACATTTTTCCCCATCTTGTTTTTTTTTCTTCAGTTTTCTGCACCACTTCTTTCTATTCTTTTTCTCTTGCCTTCTTCATTTACTATAAACATTCTTCTGGGGGCGATTATATTCGTTCAGTTGTTGCCAAGTCTGACTCCGTGTGTTGGAGTCGTGTGAGGCGGTAATGTTTAATAAGCGAGAGGGCTGGATTTGGCAGGACTTCAGTGGATCTACCAATGTTTCAATGAATTTGGCATATTAATATTGATTTATATACGTGCCTATAAATGGTTGCGGTTGTTATATTTAAAAGTAAATGGGGGATGCGTTTGTTTCTGCTGTGGCTATCTTCTGGTAGGTGAATTCTTGGACGTTTGCAGATGCAAATAATACTAGAAAACACACGATATTTTGTAAAACCACTTGAGTGTATCAGATTGTGGTTTGAAACCCATTTTGATGCATTCAGAAACTTCAACTACAGTTTACAGATTTAAAATTTGTTAAGTTAATAATGTGTTTAAAAATATGCAAATTGTATACAAAGAATTTTTCAAAAGACATCTGTTTTGTATGCAAGAGATGATGACAACATTCAACCTTGATTTTAAATAATTACGTAACCTCGATTGTTTTGGCATGCGAATGTTAAGAACGAGGACATTTGCATTTGCTTTGTCTTTGATTTCTTTATTTTTAAAACAAAAATTAGTCAAAAGATGGTTTGTCTGTATAATTTTAAGGCAAAGTATCTAGTTATGATTACGCGTAAACAGCAAATTGCTGATGTGAAATGCCGACTTGTCTTTGGCATACGCATTTAATATTATATCTCATAATCATAAGTCTATAAGAATAAGCTTTATATTAAACTTTAAATGAATCGATGATATATTTTTATAGTTTACATACTTATGTTGGTCTCGATTAACTATTATTTCGTTTCTTTTCAGAGCTACGACGAAGGGCTGCGGCCTCCCAAGGCCTACCGCCGCCTTCGAATGCCCAGCAGCAACTCATTCTGTCTTCAGGTCACGGAGTTCCCAAACCATATACACCCTTCCCCGCCAAACCCCCTCACTTAGTAGCCCCATTTCTAGCTTCAAATAACAAGCAATGGGGTTTGTAATGCACGTAGTTGATTATAATTGCCACTAATGTTCATTCCGAATTAATCGTTTCTCACAGCTGATTATGTTAAAGTTGCATGAAACTAATTATTTATGCAATAACCATTTTTTATTATTTTTAATAATTTAATCGTTTGTAATTTGTAAATTTAGCAAAATATGATGGTTTTATTAAAGCCGTACTTTACAATTTTCAGTCAAGACTGCTATTCCTCCCATGCCCAGACCCATTCTACCTCGAGAGAGAACCGTCATCGATAGAATTCTTGACTACCTGGTCGCCGACGGTCCTTCCAATCGATTTGCCTTGGTGTGTAAGCAGTGCGAATCGCACAACGGAATGGCTCTGAAAGAAGAATTTGAATATTTAGGTGAGTCTCTTCATGCATTTTATTGCCACAACGCTTTAACATGCTTACAAAAATTGCAGAGTTTACATCAAAATACATATATTTTTATGTCATATTATACAAAAACTACAATCAAATGCAAATGACTGTCCTTACACCTGTTTTGTTGATGAGGTAACTGGATGAAGTAATGAGGGATCTCATAGATGAGGTAAAGAAGGCAGAAGCACTGTCTCATTTACCTCATTTATGAGATTTCTTCTGTCTTCTTTTACACTGAGATATTCTCTTTCTCCTTGTCCATTTTCTGTTTGATCATGTCTCATTTTGCCTCTTCTGGTCACCATTCTCCTGATCTCTCTCTGCTGGAAGATTGTACTGCTTAGTAGTTAGAAATATTGTATATATCTGGATTTTAACTTGTTCAGAAACATCAACTTTTATGTTAGAATAATATTAAGCCTTTATATGTAAAACCTGTTGTAAAACCATGCTGTATTGTAATATTCTTCAGTCTTCTCTAGCTCAGATTTGAATCTCTGTTTAGTTTTGTTTAGTGCCACTTGCTTAATGTTCTTCCGTTTTCTTCCAAACCCTGACGATCATTTTCAATTAATCTTCACATCACACCAGTTGCTGAGTGGATAAAACTGCCAAATACTGGTGGTTAGTCACAAAGTAGCACCTTGCCAATAGCTTAAAAAGTTCTCCTGGGAAGCATCTCCCTCGCCATGTTACCCTTCCAGTTGCATTGCCTCATTTCATGCAACCGAGAAGCCAAGTGGATAAAACTGCCAAACACTGGTGGTTGGTTGTAAGGTTGTGCCTTGCCAATGGCTGGCTGCATGGAGTTTTCTTTTTGTATTTAAAATCTAGATGGGGCCACTGGTCCGTAGAAAGTTCTGGGAGGCATCTGCCTCGGCTGGTCACTCTCTTGTTGCATTGCCTCATTCCAAGAAACGTATACAAGTTGTCATTCCATTTAATCACAAAGGTTGCATAAAAATTACTGGACGATAACTAGTTGGAATTATGCCATAAAATACTTGTTGATATTTCAAAAAAACTACTCAGAAATATATATATTTTTGTGTGTCGAAAGGCCATCTTTACTATTATTTTACACAAAAACCATCTTCCTCCTTATGGAATAGCATTTGGTTCAAAGTCTGGACAGCAGTCTTCAATTTAATATTTTAAATAGTAAGCATCTGTTCATCTTTCTAGTTTATGCAGCGACAGTTTCATTTTCATACCCGTCCTGACAATTTCACACAGTATTTTGAATTTCACATTCTTTACGACATCAAGTTTTTTACGTGTCTGTTCATAAATATGTATACACAATAAAAATTCAACTGGCATTCTAAGCTGGTAGAGCAACTGATAACAATATTAATTATCGCGTTACTTAAACATTCCTCTTTTGTCGTTCAGATATAAAAAATTCTCATCTGCAACTCGGTTCGTATGTCACAAATAATTTCTAGTTGACAAAAGTGACTTTGAAATTCTATGTTAGATTAGATCAAAGAACTTTATAAGTCAATTCGTAAAAGTAAAATTTGTGTATTGCCATCGTAAATCAAGATTCTGTAATTATCTTTTCGTTCAAATCAAGTTTGAAGAATCGACAGGATATTTGTCATTTTATCTCACGCTACATTAATGTCGTTGGCAAACAATGTGACGAAGCTTTGTTAATTTTAGACTTAAAATTTTTGCAAAAATAACTCCCTGGCTTTGATTTTAATCCCTGTTAATTATTTTTGAGGTTTCTAAGTCGTGTTATCATCTGTAAATTAAGTTTGGTGACCTACGGGTTGACAATCTGCGTAAGGGTTCTGTCTTTCGTTCCGCAAATGTATCAGAATATATTTTTTTGATGTAAAGTTCTTGTACTCGTCTACATCGTTTTATCATATAAGTAAGAGGCATAGTCATGTTTTATATTAAAAATAACAGTTATAAATATATTGATTGATTAGTTGACTGAATATAAAATTGTGGAATTTGTGTGATGTAATAATAATTCTATGTTAAATATGGTTTAAGAAAATTTATTGTTCGTATTAACTTTATAAATAACTCGAAGATGACGCAAATTATCGGTGTTGAATGTCAAATATGTTTTTTACATCAAACACTGTTTTTAAATCTTTTTTACACTTTTTAATGGGAAAATCTCCTCTGTTTGGCTACTTTTTAGTGTGTTTGAATTCAATACTACTACTACTGCTTTAATCTGTAATTTATAATAGGCTCAATATTTAAGAATTTAAAGCTGTAGAGTAACTTCTTAGTTAGACAATGTGAAAATATAGACACAGTTTTTATAAAAAATAAATGGAAAATTAATTTTAAAAGTTTGGAATGTCTTATCTTCATACATGACTTTTATCAGGATATAGTATTTGAATGTGGAGTTTAAGTCATTGTACTGATATATGGCTTTCTTATTTATGTGGAAAACAAAATAATTTTGTGAACTGTGATGCGTGAAGTCAAATTTTTCACTATTCTTTGATGTATAATACACAATAAACGACGACAAAATGAAATTTGTTTGGCAGCAACTTACTTTTATTAATTTGAAGTGTAAAAGAGAAGAAACCAGCACTTAATTTTGATTTAACAGATTATATTTACAGTTTTCTCCTCACGTGTTACATGAAAATCAACGTCGGAATTGGAATTTTTTTTGCTTGTAATCTGGTGTATTTATAAATTCTAATTTTAACAAATTCTCTTACAGCTTTTAGATGTTGTTATTGTTTTCACTGGAATCCTGCCAGAAAACAGAGACCGATTGCACCACGTTTGCCTTTGCCTTTACCTCATGGAGGAGAAGAGAAGAGCGAAGATTCAGAAGATAAAGGTGAGCGAGTTGTTTGTTACCATATCTTGAGAATTCACCTTTTAAATGAGTGTCAATTCTGTTTTCCAGATCAGAGCGGTGCGGATTCTCGTCCTTTGGAAATCGAAGAGGTGACAGATGACCCGAAGGTCAGCAGCCGGCCAGACGAACACCAGGAGTCTTCGGAGACTGAAAGTACAGAATGCTTTCCACCAGAAGAGACGGCGAAGTCCAATGGCAAGTTCGGAGGGCTCGGCGTTGGCGAGGAGACCGAGTCTAACGTCGCCAAATAAACTGGACCGACGGTCGTCAAAGTGCCTTGGAAGTTTAAATTTAGAGAAAACGAACTAAATATTTTCAAATCTAGATTATCACACACAGGATTAAAAATTACCAGAGAGGACGGACGGATGTGCGCGGCGCACGCCTCGGCCGGCAAAGTGCGACCCGTCCCCGCACCCGCGCCAAACCGATAAAAGTACTTAAATTATTAACGAAGTGGTTGTCCAACATTAGTTTTATTAACAAATCATCGAAACATGTATAACCGGCTGAGAGTTTACGTTACTTTGTAAATATTCCATTACAGTTATTAATTAGCAGCGGCCGTTCCTCTGCATCTAACTTAATCATAGTCATATGTTCTCTGTCGAGTCACCCGAACAGATACCCCCAGTCAGTTTTAAAGGAACCCTGCTATTTATTTTACTATTTAATTTAACCACTGTAACCAAGTGGCATTCCAAGTGTTTCTGCATTGCTCCTGTGGAAAGTAATAATGAATATATATTGGTGTTCAAATTGTACAGCTAATTTGCAATAAATTTTTTGGATTGTTTTATCTTCTCCACTCCTTTGCTCGGATCCTTCGCTCCGTTCGGACTCCTCCACTATGGCCGGATCGATCCCCTCCACCATCTAAACATCAGGGACCACACCCGGACAGGGATTTAAGAAAAGTAATGCGTCCCTTTCTTTTTTGTGGCCAGAACGTGAATATTTTAGCGGCCGGCCGTCCAGAGAGATGCAAATGCAGGCCGGGTGCATCCCGTCCCGCTCCAAGAGCACCTGGCAAAGATCAGTCAATGTCTTATCTGCAGAGGGACTCTGGTACTCGCACCCGTTGTGGATTTTATCTATCTTCCTCCCCTCGCCGATATCCCGAGCCCGGTTGACGGTTGGGGAATAAACAGGAATTGGCCAATGACACATGTTAGCGACACCTTTCGAGATAAAGCAACAGGAACCATGTGGAATTTCGTTCCTCCCATCTGCTTCATCCTGCACCCTTCTCCTCTTACTCTGACATGGTGTCTGGAATCTGTCCAGTTTAGCCAACAAAACAAAGATATCTGCTCCTCTCCCCTTCTCTCTCTCTAGACCTGGTGCTGCCAGTTTTCTAACTTTCACTTCCCTCGTCTCGCAAGATCTACATTATTCCCTCCCCCCTTTGTTAAAATGACGTATCGATCATCTCAAGATGGACACCACCATCTTGATCGATGTGGCAATCGTTTTGAATCGATTGTAGTCTTATAAATGGATTCAACACTGATCTAAATCGGGAGTCGAGTGCTCTTCCTCGAGTAGATTTGCATTTTTTATAAACTCGAGTGCCTTTTTTTACGCTCTGAACCTTCCCAGCATGCTTATTCGTCTTAAGCTGTTTTTATCTCCAAATTTGGCAATGTGGAGTAGATTTTTTTGACTTTTCCACGTTGTGAACCCTCCAGAAACAGGTTCCAATGCAAATTTTTCATAAATTTAGGGGTTTTATTTTGTCTTTTGAGAATTTCAATAGGGTTATTCACATATTTTAGCGCCCCTGAGGTAGATTTGGTTTTTTTTCATGTTTCAAACCATCTAAAATTGTGTTTCTATGTGTTTTGTTCGAATTTCCACGTCAAATCACTGGAAAATTTTCTTCCAAGTCACGTTTCCAGATCAAAGACAACACAAAACACTAGTTTACTTAGAACCATCTCTCTACATCAACCTCCCCCCCGAAGAACAGAGCAGCATTTCATTATCATAGCGGAAGTTAATCACGATTTCGCATCCCCTTTTCATACTTTTTTCTCTTACGCGGTGGATAAAGTTACGTCACGTTCGTGGCCGAGCACGTTTGCGAAAACTCCACCCCTCAGGAGCCATAGGATCATAAATTTCGAGTGGAGGGACTCGCCTCGCGCTCGGGGGGGTGTTAACTGTTAAACAGATTTCTCGCAGCTGCGAATCGCTAATCTTTGCCAGGAGCGTTGCCCAACAATCACCGTAGATAACTTCATAGGGCACAAAAGTGAAGAGTCTCGAGCGATAACGAATGAGCGACGCCCATCACCTCGTGCATGAAGTTACATTTTTCATGCTCCTTTCCCACCCAATGTAACGCGAGAAGGGTGAAGAATTACATCTGCAACGCTAACTTGCCATGTTGAGGGACCGCCCAATTGGGCGGAAATTATCACGAGTTCGGAGACGGGGGAGAGGCGTCAGACCTCTCTCCTCGTGCTTTTTTTTTTGGAGGAGGAGGAGTGAACTTTCTGTGAGAATCGTGGCACCCCCCCCCTCTGTTTTGGCACTCGTCAAGTTCCGAGACATCCTCTTGGAAAACTAAAATTTGAATTGCATTTTCGGGAGGATTTCTACTTTTTTAGATGAGTCTGGAGTGTTTTAGGGGTGTTTTTTCGAAGGTTAAATTCGTTAGTGTGCCCTAAAAACGCTTCAGAAAACTTTGCAGCTTGAATTCTGAGATTATTCTCTTCATAAACGATTAAATTCGCATTTTTTTTCTCACTTCTGTGGGTTTTTTTGTTGAAATTGGGGTGTTTTAAGAGCGTTGCTTGATGATTTTGGTAGCAAAAAATCGTAAGGGTACCTTAAAAGCACTTCAAATCACACTGCAGGGTTGGTTTTTTGAAGATTTAATTTGAATAAATCCTCTATAAAAGTGATTAAATCTATATAATTTTACTTGATTTTTGTATTTTTTAGTTTTCCTGGTGTTTTGGAAGATTAAATTCGTTAGAGAACCCTAAAACACCCCCAAAAAGGTCAGATTTTAAGCGCACAAATGCGCTTTTTTAAACCAAGACCCTAATTTAGCGTCAGTAAAATTAGGACCATGTTTTTCGCTATTCATTTTCTTACTTAACAAGCGCAAAAAAACTCAAAGTCCAGATTTTATACACGAATAAAGGCCCTAATTTCTATGAGGTTTATAAAATTACCTTTCTAGAAACAGGGCCAGAATATTTCCAAAAAAATAATTCGAAAGAATACATCCAGATTTTTAAACACAACCGAAATTGTCTCGAATCGAGCCCCTAATTTACTACTACTAAAATTAGGGCCTTGCATTTTTTTTTACACCAAAGTACAGCGAAATCATAAAACGCGGGAAAAATCAAAGATTTCGTACGGGTAAACTCAATTTTTCTGAAATTGGGGCCTCTGTTTTCGAAGAAGGGCACTGTAAGATCAGGGAGGGCCCCAGTTGCGATGATAAGACACGCTTTAATTTTAGAAAAAAACAATTGTTTCTTAATGGGGGATTGTGTTAAGAATTTAACGACGGATACCCGCGAGTATTGTGGCACTTTGCAACAGGAGGAATCTCGGGTTATGGACAAAATTCTTTTTGGATTGTTAAGAATTTATGAAATTCCAAGTTGTTTGCAGGGTTTATCGGCCTTCCAGCAACACTAGAACGAAGTGCAACACGGGAATGAGGGAGCGCAACGTGGCAAATCGGACAAGTTGTGTCCCCTAGGACTGTAAAACAATCGAATGGACGATACATCTTCTGTATAATCATTGCAGTGACAGGTGGGGAACATCGGTTAATCGTGCAGGGTCTCTCTTGCCTAACGATTAGCTCCTCCTGGTGGAATTCTGTGGTCCGCTCCTTGGTCCCTTTGGTGTGATTTACCAGAAATTTGACATTCCTAGGGGATTTCGTAAGTGAGATTCCCTCAAAAAATCCTACCATCCGCCTGTTTACTCAATGACAGCTTGTAGATTGAGAATTTGGGGGCCCCCTCCTGCGGTCTGCAAACTTCGCTTCTGTAATAAATGAATATATAAAAAACTGCCTCTTGCTAGTGCATTTGTGTGAGGGGACCTCCGAGAAATCTGAATATTTGAGTAGGCCCTAAATGTGTAATCGTTGGCGTTGGATTCTCGCTCTCGGTAATTAAAGAATTGGGGCTATAGAAGGCCTAAATAGAACTATGCCTCCTCGGAAAATGGTTTTATTAACGTTTCAGTAGAGGGGTGGCTCTTAAGGTGAAATTTTTGACGTTCGAATGTTGAGTTTCGAAGGCCCTAAGCTCAGTGCTTTGTGTTATTTAGTAGAGATATCTTATGTGGTAAAACCTCCAATCTCTGTGCCTTTATATAAGGTTTAGGTCTAGATTAATAGGGCGTAAGGGGCCTTAGGTATGCTTTGCATCACTTCCAAATGTATCTCCTTAAGAGGAATGAGTTGTGGTAGTGGCTGCATAATTGTGTGTGCCCTTTGTTAAACTTTATGGAAGGGCCTCAAAGTTATAGATGGGTCTTTCTTATCTGTTGCCATCTCGCGCGCTTTTAGGCGCCTTAAAAACTGGTACAGGTCACCCCCCTTATGGTCGGTATCCGTTACAGGAAAGAAGTCATCCATAATTAGAAACATTTGCAACGAAAAATATTTACAACCCCATCCATAAACTTGTCACGCGCGGGCCTAAATATAGAACGTGCGGTTGGAGTGGTCAAAGGGTACAAGTTTGTCCAGCAAAAGGCCGATCGTCCCTCGCAAGTGACAGGCGGAATGACGTATGGACTACATCATTAGGGTGACAATAGAAGGCCTACAGGTAGTCCCGACACCTGGTGGGAGATTTATGACTTCATCGACCGGGATAATCACGCGGTTTTCCAACAATCCGCGCCACCGCCAGTCACGTGCGCGGCTCTTCATTAGCGCTAAAGTTTCCGACGCCCGACACGTAGTGGCGCTCCTTATTCCCTTCGAAATTTTTTTCCTACTAAATACCGCTGCTGCCGCCGCCGCCACGCCCTTTTTAAAACACGACAGCGCCATCTTGTATCGTGGCTCCTCTTTCTGTAAAGTGCGACCGCCCCGAATTTATTGAAAGAGACGGGCCTTTCTGAATAATTCAGCGGCCTCCACCATATATACTCTTCCTTTCCCCCCGCTCTTCCTCCTAGTGACGTTCACCTGTCTCTCGTGTAAACACTCAAATTCGGCCCTTCGGAGTATCTGATTACAGTTCCGACCCCCATCCCCCCGTTGTAAGAAGTCAAACAAAGGGATTATGGACTAAACGGATTTGTTTGCGTTCATCCAATTACACTGAAATCGACGCCACTTTCTACTTTGCTCTGTTAAATAAATGAAAAATCTCGCGGTTTGCTCCCTCACTCTCCCTCCCTCCAGGAGGCGCTAGCTCTCGACTCGACTGCCCTCTCTCGGTTTAATCGAACTGTATAAAAAAAACCTCTGAAATTTATTCATAAACCTCTAAAAACTACTAATATTTATTAATTTGCATTCGTTCCTAGTCGGAGTGGATTGTTTTCGTAACTTAAGGTTCCCGAATGAAATTTTGGCAATTAAATCTTAAAATAATCTCATATAAAAGCCATAATAAATGAAAAAACAAAGCTAATTCTTTAAAACTATTTTATGAATCTCCCTCGCGCTTATCTAAAAACTACTATAAATCCAAAAATAAAAAAACCTCTGAGGTGTCGTAGAAGACCAAAAATTCCCTCATCTAGGCAGAAAACAAGGCAAAATTAAGCTTATATAAATGACCTTCGATCTTCGGTT